AGTGCCCCCGCCCCAAGCAACTCCCTTGTCTGATAGTGCCATAGACAAGCGGGTTAGGCGTTGCATGCAGCCAGATTCCAAAGGAAATTACAAGGTGTGCCAAGAGTTACGGGAACAATGGGCCCAACCTGGTTCTCCACGGAACAAAGTGCTGAAGCTGTTTGCGCAATGCGGCCATGACACGGACAGGGTGGATATATGTATATGGTGGTTCAGTGTTCAAAGCTATGTTTGGGTCTTAGGATTTTCATGGAGTTTCTTTTGGTATCAATGTTTCATGCATGCACGTGCATCTGCAGGAAGAGTTCTGCAAGCGCTTCAGTGTGCAAGCCATGAAGGAAAGGGGAACGGACCTGAATGTGAATTTCACATTTCCCACAAAGGGGCAAATGGCGGAAAGCCCGCACAACATGTCGCAGTCATTTGGCCGATCATCATAATTTCTGCTTTGTAAGGCTCTGTGTTTTCAGACGAAAATCCCAAGAGACAAACCACACATATGCGGGTATCATATCCATATCCTACTGTGTCCCGTAGTGTTTCCCATTTTTTTCTCCGGCCGATACTCAGGTCTGAGATCGACGAGTGCGTCAAAGTCGCGATGTCGGACCCAAAGAAATATACCAGGACCCATTCTTGCTGCTTCATGTTCAGCCAGCTCTCTATTGGTTATTTTATATATGGTGTATATATATATATATATGCCAGCTGTTTCTTCTATAATCAAACAATTCACATGGGAAAAAATCCATAGGGGAAGGGCATTCAACATGTCCTTTAACCAGCTCTGGTCCTCATAAGAATCTTATAATTTGCTGAGATAGCATACATGGCATACACTCTTGTGCAGGAAACATCCCTACAAGGGTTTGACTACCTACTATGTAGAGACGGATGTCACCGGCACGCATCTGTGCGGATCTTATCCCCATCCATGTGATATGTGCTGCATCCTCTTGAGACCATGTTTTGCTTTTATATAAAGAGTCCCACCCTTCTGCAACAAACAATGTACTAAGGGACAGGTCTCGCTTCAAGTTTACAGAGTCTGTGGAGGGGCGCTCTACCACGGACCAGATAGACATGACCATGGACATGTCAGACTCTTTGACTGGATTTGGGGGCGGCCAGCCAGTGACAGGTGCCTTGCCATCAAAAAAAAAATATATAATTATATATATACAGGATTATCAAGACATGATATTGACGTCGCCCAAGATTTTCAAAATCTGTCCAACCTGGGTTTCCATGCCAATGTCTCCACTGACCGCTTCCAAGGTGATGACGGTGAGGGTCAGCCACCAGAGAATCCTGTTGTGGCGGATGTTGCCAAGGTTTTGAAGAAACTTGGGTATCCCGAAGTTCAAGTTGCCAACAATGGCCCTGAGGTGTTGGCGGCACTTCCAAAGGCCACCGCAGCTGCAACCAAACGGTTGCAAAAGTTAGATGCCCTCCGTGAAGCTTTATCTGGTGAGGGGGCTTCCCAAGTTGCGTTGAAGAAGTTTGCCTGCACATGGGTCGTTTCATGTATAAATTACAATCAAAGATTCGTTATATGGAAGTATGGTCCAAACTTATACCATGAAATACTACGATCCATTAATTATTTACCCCAAAACTATATTGTAGTTGGTGTAACATGGGCCTATTGGCATCCCATCTTTGTACCCTTCAACCGGTGGCTGCCAGTAACCGACCCTGGTTTCATAGCTAAGGGCGGCTGACAAGGTCAAGGCCACCTATAATGAGCTGGATGCATTGAACGATGAGCTTTCCAATATCCATTCTGATGGAGTCATCAATGGCTTGAACGATACGCCCCTTTCCTGAATGTCCATGCCCACTTTTTTTTTGGGTTTCGCCTTGAATAAGCCAAAAATAAACCATCAGGCTTTACACAGCCCCAACTTCAGGCAGATGCAGGAGATGATGGACAAGTTTGACAAGTGTCGAAAAATGTGGGGCCCTCATTTCTTAAGAACTTGTTCCATTTCAATGGCACACTATGCCCATCTCCTATCTAAGGGTGCTGGGTTCCCATGAGCTGGAGAGCCGTGTGAGGACCGCCGCATGGTGCATGAATAAATGGAAACCCAAAAACAAGTGACAAAAACAACAAGCGATTCCATCGTGTTGCAATGTTCTACTTCACCAGCTGGATCATGGGATTCCTTTCCATTGCAGGACATGCATCCCAAAGGTGAAGGCTCCAAAGAGTTTGAGAAACCACCAGGGAAAGCCGCGGGAAAGGCCCCACCGAGGGCCCCACCGAAGGCCCCGCCTCCTCCGAAAGCTGCGGCAAAGGCCAAAGCGGATGGCAAACGTCCACCTGAGGCCAAGGCAGGTGGCCCCTTGAAAAAAGCCAAGCCGTTGGCGAGTGACTGAAGATGTCACATGTGGCCTGGAGGTTCTGACAGTTTTTGACTTTGCTAGATCTTTCCTAGATCTCAAGGTGCTGTGGCTTTAGACCACAGCCCGACACAATGCAGCTCAGCGGAACGATCGAAAGAGGGGAAAACCAGTCCGATATTCTTCTACTTGATTTTTTTCATTTATGACAATTGTCTGCAACAGAATCTTATTTGAAGCCAGGTGATCAGCATGATCCTACCCTAGATGCGCTAGCGGAAGATCTCGCTCAGGGTGCCCGGGCCCAAGTTCAATAGATCAGTTCTAAACCTATGCATGCACCGAGTTTATGTCTTATAGATTCTTATATAGAACATCTGTCTAGCTGGGTATCTCTTCCAGCCCTTCCATCCTGCAAGGCCCCAGCCTACAAAGTTGGTGATTGGGCCCGGGTCTTTGGGCAAGAGGACCAGCCGCACCTGAGTGAGGCTGCGCGAGTGTCAGTGGAGAACCCCGAGCGGGATGCCCATAGATTTTTCAAGAGGAAAAAGATGGTACTCCCTGTGCCAATCTCTACGCTCACAATTCCTGCTGTGGAAACTGATGACAAGGTATTGACTGTGCCTTATATCAAGATTGAAGACTACTTTACTTTACTTGCTCGGAAGCACCCCAAGTTGTTGACTGGGGGTCTTGATCTGGATGTTAGCGCTGAGAATCGATTATTGGAATTCTGGGACCACTACCGGCATTTTCATGGCTCACATGAAATCTACAAGAGGTTTTCAAGAGAGGACTGTAAATACATAGTCCCCATCTTGGTCCATGGGGACAAAGGGCGAACATTGAAGAAATCTCCCATATGCTGCCTTAGCTTTGAGACGCCCTTTGGATTGCCGGCACAGTACCGGAAATCAGCCAGGGTTGGGGGGCACAAGAAAAGACCTAGACATGATGGCAAACTGAAGACTACATGTGCTGACCGATTGAAACATTCTTGTCCTACTGGCTCGTTGAAACGTTATTCATCTGAAAATCTCGAGACTTGCACAGTCAAGAAGCTGAAGTTAAACTCTGGGTGTGCACATGTAGAGCCTGAAGCACAACTTCACAACTCGAAGGGGCATTCCTATTTGTCGAGATTCTTCATTGTGGCATTAGCCAAATCGGTATACCAAGAAAATTCTGATTGTATCTCAGCAGTGCTGCGAGACACTGCCCGTGGGCTTGTGGATTTGTTCCACTTCGGGGTTGATGTTGGTAAAGGGAAAACCCTTAGAGCTGCTCTAATTGGAATGAAGGGTGATGCTGAATGGCATGTTGAATGTGGATACTTAGACCGTTCATACTTGAATGTTGGAACAGTGAATGAAAAGGCCATGTGTCCCGAATGTGACGCAGGGCTACCTTCTCGGAATTTTGAAGATTTCAGTGACGAGCCGGAGTGGGCAACAACCATTGGTTCTTCTTTACCGTGGTCAGCGCCTCCACCATTTTCAGTGGTACCCTTTGATGATGGTACACCAGCTTCTGTGCACAGGCATGACTTTTTCCATGTGATTAAATACGGTGTTGCCCGTGATCTTTGCGCAAGCTGCATTGTCGCTTTGGGGCACATGGGTTATTTTGATGACCCAAACGATGCTGGTCAATCCATTGCTGTGGATAGTCGTTTGGAAAGGGCTTATGGCATGTTTCGTCTTTGGACACTTGCAGAAGGTAAAACGACGCAAATCAAACACTTTTTGAAGTCAAACTTCCACTACCAAAATCTCTCCAAGTTTCCATGGGTGAATTGCAAAGGTGCCGATTGTGTGCTTCTCCTGATGTTCATTTCGGTGTTTCTCAAGAACTGCTTGTCACATATCCGGCTTGCTGAAGATGAACTTCCCCTACGTGCTATGGAGCAATCTGTGAATGGTGCTCTAGATTTTGTGGGCATTTGTCACAGTCATCACTTGTTTCTGCCAAGGGCTTGCGCAGCTACAGTGTACCAAAGTGGTATGATGTGCCTTCGCGGGTTCAAGTGGTGCGCGCTCCATTTCAGTCGCAAAGGGCTTTGTGTATTTGCTTTGCGCCCCAAGGCGCATTCATTGCACCATATTCTCTATTCTATTAAGAAGGTGCTGGATCAACCACATGCAAAATACGTTCTGTCACCGAGCGTATTTCTTTGCGAAAATAACGAGGATTGGATTGGAAGAATTTCCCGACTTTCCCGTCGGGTTTCTGCCCGAACTGTGGGTATGCGAGTTGTTCAACGCTACCTAATCCATATGCACATACTTACTAGGCGTGCAGGTGTATGACTGCAGCAACGCTAAGCCCAGCACGTTGGAGGGGCTGAACGATGTGGGATCACTGAGGATTGAGCCAAAAAAAGGCGCGCTTGTCTGAGACTACCAACTTCAAACCCCAAGGAAAGATGAGGCATCATCTCACCGATTTCATTCCGGATTGTTTTTTTTGCTTCGGGCGGAACTTCTGTTCTCGGATTGAAATATGTGGATTCTCAGTTCCATCCTTTTTTTTGGCACTTGTGGTTGATCTAGGTATATATATATATTCCATAGATATTCCATAGATATTATTATTGCATAGATATTTCATAGATATTCCGTAAAAAATCCGTAGATGTTCTGCCGAGATTCAGGCTGGGAGAAGTTTGACCCATCATCGGAGACAGGCGATCCCCGAAGGTCGTCACATCCGCCGAACTCCTCACGGAGTTCGAAGTTGGCACCTGGAGCCCCTGAAGATAGAAAAGGACATTCTGACCAAAATAAATTGATAAATTACATTTAACATCACAAAACACATCATTTAACAATCTTTGAGAGGCTTGCTAAGAATCATCATGAGACCTTTAAAGAATGAACTACTCATTAATTGTTTATTATTGTGATAATTTTTCTTACAGTAACTGGGTCCCATTTATCCCTTAGACATGCGATGCATCAGGCCATGCAGGATGATCGGCCCAAGGCCCAAGGGTGTTTATCCGCTACCATCTGGTTATGACATTCAGAGTTTGCCAACTGGAAAGATAAATCACCATTTTTATAGCTAGGTAAACCCAGGTAAACCATCTATTTCGATTAGGGCCATCTATACCATGGCTATGTAACAAATAACCAGAGGGTAGTTTGCATGGACCCATGAACTCAATGAACTTGGATCCAAATCCCAGTAGATTCACCAACTGGTGCAGAATTTACCAATGGGAAAATGCAAGTCATAAAATAAAACATGTTCACATTGGTTAAGTCAGGAAAAACTGCTTAGTTACTTAGTTTGTGAGTTTATTTTCATTTATTTGCCACTTGCATGGTTGGAATGGATCCCCCGTCACTTAGCAGACCCCAAACATCTCTTTTAATGCGCAACTCTGAGGTTAGCACTTCCCCGCAAATATCCCATGACATATCAAATTCTATCCCCCTGGGTATCCCATGATATCGCTATATATCGCTTTTCCTGCCCCCCTTTGAACTCTTGATATATCAACTAATCATTGCTCATAAACTTACGGATTCGACCAAGCTGTCGTCTTTACAACCCTTCCATTCTGGGTGAATGACAATAACTGGTTGGTGGTTGAGCCCTAGCCCTCTGAAAAATGATGGAGTTCGTCAGTTGGGATGATGAAATTCCCAAGATGATGGGAAAAACAAAAGCCATGTTCCAAACCACCAACCAGATAATTTACCAAGCTAGATGAAATAAGGCCATTTAAGGGGACCCAGCCTTGCTAAGCATCATTTCAGTGACGTCACGACGTGAGGTCAGCAAATCACAATTCATGCTGAATCAGAAGAGTGTAAATTCAGGATTTGGAAAGAATAGTCCTAGTTTTACATGAAGCCTACCCTTCTGGTAATTTGTTACATAGCTATTGAACATGGCCCATAGAAATAGTTGGTTTACCTAGGAAAGATGGTGATTTTCCATAGCTTTTTGTATGTTTACCAGAGGGTATCCTTTGGAAGCCCCCCAAACCCTTGGGGAGTCTTCCCGCAAGTTCTGTACCACCAAACTCCTGCGTTTCACCGGTGAGTTCGAGCTGGATTCTGCGGTGGCAGCACGTGGGGGCTGGAAGACCTGCGTAGGGCATAGCCCGGTAGCGGAGCCATGGAGCCGTCGTTCAAGGGTTACCGCGCTTCACCGCAAGAAAACATGTGATTTACCAAAGTTAAATCATTTTAATCCCAATTACCCGACATGGTAAACATACAAAGTTAGCTATTGAAAATGGCCCAGCTATTGAAAATGGCCCAGTCGAAATAGTGGATTTTCCCATTGCAAATGGTGATTTTCTATAGCTATGTTAGTTTACCAGAGGGTATTAGCCTAATGATATATATATAATTAATGATTACAGTATCCCAATGATACCCCTATACAATCATATTTTGGCTGGTATCCCAGAAAGTAAAATGATTATACATTTGAGCAGCGGCTGCTAAAGTCGCGTACCGTCGTCCCTCTATACTGGTTGGTTGAGAACGGGATACATGGATCGTCAATGGATCCACAATACATTGGACGGAGTTGGTCGGTATAATCATTCTAGAATCATCAACCAACAGGGGTTTTGAACACTGCTCTTAAATGGTGATTCAACCAACAACAATAAGGGTTTAACATGGTTTAACCATCAAAAATGCTGATCTAAGCAACAGGAAAGGTGATTTATATAATCATCAAACATGGTGATTGAAAAGACATCGACCACGGTGGCTTAACCAAGAATTTAGGGGTTGTAACATTCCCTGGTGAATGAGGCACTCGGGTAGTCTAAGCTGGAAATGGCAAGCCCTCATTTTCTTTTGAAGAATAGCGTGCACTGGACATATGTGATTCAGACATGATTTTTTTTGAAATCCAGTATCCAGTATCGCAGTGGAACCCGTCTTTGGTCGAAAAGAGTTGCTTTATATTCACATATATTCACCAATCCAACTGTAGATATATCAATATCATTCAATATCCGGCTTTTCAACCCAAGAGCCAGCCAAGTTCTAAACCAACTTGCCTATATATTTTGTTTCGGGACCAAATTTAAGCCATGGTTTTTAAACACCATCAACTCTGGTTTGCGGAGGACGTCCAATAAACCTGTTGTGTATGATTAAGAAGACTCCCTCATATTCCCCCTAACAGTGATCCTTCCCTTTAGAGTGATACTGTCATTCATGACTAGTGGACCCACACACGGCCTGTCACTTTTGTCATTTGATCCAACTTCCAAATAGATCATGCAGATCCAAATGTATCACCATCAAGATACGACTTAAACACTTTTTTTGACCTAGGATGTCAAGTCCTGTACCCAAACTCAACATTACTTTGTGGAGCCAACGAGCACAACATGTTTCCATCTTGGGGGATGGTCCCACACAAGGAAAAGACATGGTCGTGCCAGCCAAGCACCAGCCAATTTACGATAACTGGGTGGTGGTTTCAACCTACCCCTCTGAAAAAAATATATAGCTATGGTTATATAGCTATATACAATATATATATATATGTAATATATATATATGGTTGGTGGTTTCAACCCCTCTGAAAAATATTAGTCAGTTGGGATTATGAAATTCCCAACGGACTGGAAATATAAAAGCAATGTTCCAAACCACCAACCAGATTTAAATCATTCAACAGTCGCTTACAGTCACTAGTTCACCAAGCAATTACAGTCAGTGACTACCAAGTCTATTGTGGCGAACTACTGACTGTACATGGATCACCAAGAATCAAGAGATTCAGCAGAATGGCAGCAAACAGACATGTGGATAAACAACAACAAAAACCATCATATTCACCAACTACGACGGCCAATGATGGGCACACACACAGGCAACAAATCAAAAAGAGCGTCACAGCGATTGATTTTCCAGTCACTGGACCATCAAACAGCGGATCAGCCCCATCCACTGGTTGATCATGATTTTCCCATGACAGTTGCATAAAATTTGGGGTATCCCATGTTCAGGTGTCGCACCAATATATCATACAATGTGAGGCCCCCCAGTTATAAGTTGGTTTATAAGCCCCAGTAACTATAGTTATAAATACCATAAACCATAGTTATTGGTTAATGTTGCTTATCCTATATCTCCAATGATATCGCAACTTGTGTTGGTCAAATCGCCCTTTTTTTGATGGTCAAATCTCACCCGTTGTTGCTGAAATCTCGACTTTTGTTGGTTAAATCTCAACTGTTCTTGATGAAATTCTGAGTTTTCTCGGTGAAATCCCAATTTTTTGTCCAAAATCCCATCTTTTCAGGTACCACAGCAATATCTCCGTTGTGTTTTCGCCTTCAGCGCAGGTGAGGTGGCCGCCACCCGTGCATCCACAGGACGAGGGCACAAGGGCCAGCTGCTGGTGGCCACATCAGGGCTGAGATTACCTGCAGATTTTCAGGATCTCTGGGAACATTGGAAACATCCTGAAGGATTTATATATCCCAAATATTTCCCAAATATTCTACCAATATTACCATTCCAATTTCCCGGATTACCTTAAGAGGAAACATATATTCATCTGCCACATATCTTTGATGTGTTGATGAACAAATTAGCCTTCAACACTAAGGCCATCCCCACTATGTCCAGGAGTATCTGGAGGTTTCCTGAAATGGGGGTACCTCCAAATCACATTGGGGGGTAGCTATTGGGATAAGTGGATCGTTATTAAGAGGACACATATCCATCCGGTAGTTTAACATAGCTAACATAGCCCAATTAGAGTTGATTTACTGGTTAAAATGGTGATTTAAGAGAAAGCTATGGGACAACATATTGGGATAACTATTAAACTTTTACTTACTGGTGCTTACGGAATATGGAAATTACCTATAATGACTCTTAATAATCATCCCATTCCCTCATTCCCTATTCAGATATGTTAAGAGGAAACTACTGGAACAGATATTGGAGGAACCTTATTTCAAAATATTTTCAGAGATCAGGTTTGAGAATTTGAGGCAATGAGAAAATACATCTGGAATTTAACATCTGGATATGATGATAAACTATATATATATCGATTCATCTAGAGAACACACATCTGGATTTAAGAGATTTTACCGGAGAAAACTCTGGATTTTGAGCATAACACATCTGACATTTATGAATATGTTAGGAGGACACTGTATTAGAAAACTATTGGGATATCTATTGGAAAACTTTGGATACATGGATATTTACAGTAAGAACAACATCTTGGGATATGAATGGATATGATACATATACAACATGAAAAAAAAACAATGCGTTTTACCACAAAAAAAAACAAAAACTGGGGAGTTGTTTCGGAACATGGTCCGACGTCAAGACACTCTGATTTCCAAGCGTGATCGGCAATCGGTCGTCGCGGCCCCGCGGGGGGCTGGCACTTCGTGTTCGAGGTGACTTGCTGCCCGCTGGAGACGGCGGAGCTTGGATGTTCTCCTGAGGTCTGGCAGAATCTGCTAGGAATGCCCCAAACAACCCCTGGAAATGTTCATGACATATATATATAATAGCTATTCAAATCTCAAAGGATCTCAAAGGATCTCAAAGGTACTCTTGGCCTCGAACTTGCTAGGAATCTGGGATGGGTAGAGTTTTTTCCAGTCGGATAGCCCAACCAGTTGCAGGATCATGGTCCTAGTGGTTACGCATGATCCCTCCAAGTGCCACCAGTCAAAGGTGACACAGATCTGAGCAAGAATGTTTGAATGATCCATATAAGAATGATCCTTGTGAATGGCTCAAGAAAACAAATATTATTGGATATCCCAGAGTAAACTAACATAGATTCTGAAAAACCTATGGTTTCCTGAGGAACATGATATACCAATGGTGTTTTTTTTTCACTTTTTTCCACATCTATGGTAGTTTACCCTAGGGTACTATTGAAGGTCACCTTTGCCGTTCAAACCGGTTGGTGGTTGGACCAAGAACCCACAGAACAGCAAAGGAACAGGGACAACCAAGAATCAATGATTTCAAACCCTGGACAGTTCGAAAAACAGCCGACTTCTGGCTACAAGTATATATGGTGATTCATTTTATATTGTATGATATAATATATATATATACACGTATATTGTACATGAATATATTGTGACTCATTCTATATGGTAAACTTGTTTTTATATTGGGATGCAAAAAAATAAAAAAGGATCAATGTTTTCATAGTTTTGACAGCATCCCGTAGCCGAATCCAAGCTTCAGTTGCTAACACAGTCTGGTCCACTTCAAGTGGATTCAGGCCCTGAACATATAGGCTATGATTACCTCGAGATTACTGTACCCAAAATAAGATACTTAGTGACTTAGTGTAGTCATGTCATATTCCACTCACCTTGTCATATCTTGTCATTCCACGCTTATAACATGTGTTATTCCATGTTATTCCCAGCTTTAAAAAACCCATGTTGTCATTCCACTTGCGGCCCCCACACCGAGTTTCGATACCGTCAAGGCTCCTCAGTGAAAAATGGGAGCTGACCATGGGTTGCTCATTGGTTTTGATCCATTGCCAATCTTAGATACCCTGCAAAAATTAAATTCTTTGCTGGTTAGTAGATATTCCTATTAATACCAAAAGACTAAAGGATTAAAGTATCCATGTAAGATTGACCTAGGATCATGGAAATTGACCAACCAGTTGGCAAAGTGCATCTATATTTGTGACACATGGTGACACAGCTTTTTGGGCGAATATCGTACAAGTATGGCTTAGAGTTAGTGTACCTCTCGACACAAGTCATTTCAGTCAAACATTGTACCCTCTGGTAAACTAACATAGCTATTGAGAATGGCCATTTATAGTGGATTTACCCATTAAAAATGGTGATTTTCCATACCAGAGGGTATATGAATGAAACTTCTGGGGATGTGTATCTTGGAGCCCTTTCAGCTTCTGACATCCATGGTGAAGCGGTCAACCGTCCCATTCACCATCAGCTGTGTCGCTGAAATCACATTTTCACGAACCATAAATTTGCCAGTCGGCTACATCACCCATTCGATTCGCAGGTGAATCATCATTTTCCGTGTGTTTTGTAACACTTATTTGCAAGTATTCAGCCATCCTAGCTGGTTCCCATTAAACACTGCTTACCATCCTACGTCATAACTGAGCCATGAACAAAATACCCCGTGTTTTCCCATGAAATACTAGTTGGTTGATAGGTTTCCCATAGCCTATGGGTCTATGGGGCCCATCAGAATCCCCAGCTAGATCCAGCTAGCTGCTAATCCCCTCTAGCAATCAATTCAGCTTCCAGGTATTTTGAAAAAGGCTCAGTTAAGCTTGTCCCTTACACAAAAAACTGGATTATCGGATTGGTTATAATAACTGGTTATAACTGATTATAACTGATCATAGTATATATATATATAGATTTACGACTGTCCCATTTTAATAAGATGTTATAATCACTTATTATGGTTAGACAGTCTTCTGTAATCAGTTATAAAGCATTTTATAACATCATCCCATTTATAACATCATGGCTAGAGGATTATGTTAGTAGATTTATTACTGTCCCATTTATAGTAGATTTATAACTGATTATAACTGGCTATAAGATGTTATAAACCCATATAAAGCCATGTTTCCTCGGCTGCCGAGTCTCTGCTTCCTGAGCATCGTGGCCTTATTCTTCCGCACCTCCATCACGGGTCGCTTGCGACGGATGTCCATGGGGGCACTGTAGACCACCTGAGCTGATGAATGTCGAAGATTTTCGTGGTGAAAAATCATTGTCAATATGTATCATGCATATATGTATATATAATATGTGTATGTAATTGTATATATATATATATAATATTAGATATATAGTTGATATATAATACTTAACCATGATTATATGGAGGCTTAATGGGCTTTCATGGGCTCTATCGGAGTTTAATTATAGCGTTTAATTTGTTTGCAACTGTTTAACGATGGGGTTTTCAATGATTTTCGTGGAGTTTCACGGGATTTTCCATGGCAACGGGTTTGTTTCAGGGGTGCTACAGTAGCTTCCCCAAGCTACACATGGGATCCAGGGAAATGGTAGACTTACTATGTAGGATTATGAACCACTTACCCTCTGGTTATTTAACAGTTTGCCGTGGAAAATCACCATTTGTTATAGGTAAACCATCTATTTCTATGGACCATTTTCCATGGCTATGTTATATAGTCATAACCAGAGGGTACTTGCTGGGGTGATACTCCACTGGTTGGTGGTTGCTGCTAACCCCTCTGAAAAATGATGGAGTTCGTCAGTCGGGATGATGAAATTCCCAATATGATGGGAACAATAATAAAACATGTTCCAAACCACCAACCAGTCCAAGTGATTGGAGGAAATCAAAGTAGATAATCTGAACAGCAGTATTTTTTCGCGCTCCCTTGGCAACTCTTGTGAGCTAAAGGGAGATCAGCAAAAAATCTGTAGTGAGATGCATAAGCACCAATAGATGTTTCTATCATTCTATAAGCTACCTCTTCATACCATGGGCTGCCTGGGCTGAGAGATTCCCGTTTTCGGGCCCCGTTAAAGCGCAGAAGGGATCGGTTCACTGGGCGTGGGATAGTTCTGAATCTTCATTCATGCTCCCCATTCATACAGAAAAACCCTGGGTTCATATGGGTTCTGATTCATCACATTTATATGCATGTTGCTTATAAAAACTAGGATGAACTACTGTGAACTCCCATTATTTTGATGCTTCACTCAACTCCCCACATTTGTGTTTGGTTGGACATGGCACCTAAAGTCGCCTAAAGTCTTCTGGTTCATCATCACTTTCCCGATTCAAAATTGCAAATCAGGGTCAACCCACCATTTTTGGACAAACAAACATCATAGTGTCGGTTACACCCTCGCGGTATTCCCATCAAATGCTTCGTTGTTTTATATTTTGTTTATAGTTTATACCGCTGTTTTCGATGGTTCAACCGAATTTTTGTCGGTGAAAACCCCATCTCCCCTTTCGTTCACCCCGATTGCTTTCATCCGTGGCACATGGTACGCGGTGTACATCCGCTTCCCCGATTGCATGCGCCAAACACCGAAGGAGCGCTCGTCATCGCCTTGCTGCTCTCGGTCATTTGAAAAAAAAAACACTCCAAGTAGCCATAAAAAATCGTGTGTTTTAGCCAATAATTTTAAACTTTAAACCATTTTTTGGTGGTATTTGGAGGGTCCTATAGGTGTATATGCATTTTATGTGTGTATATATATTTATATATGAGATAGTTCATTAAGCATGATAATTCTTCCTGCGACTGTGATATATTATATTGTCATTCACACTATTTTTTGTATATATGTATCTGGGTAAATTATATCAAGGCAATTTTGTGATAGTTAGCCCTACTAACCATTATTTCACATTCCAGTGAGGTCGCAGGGAGGTCCTTATAATTTATCCATATACATATATATATATATGATATATATATATGATATATTTAACAGGGATATAATGGGTAAAACAGATTGACCATGGTGGCGATGTCATTATCAACTTGATATGATACTTGGGTATGTTTGAAAATGTTGTATATCCCAAAATCACAAGTTTCATAGTGAAAATGATGATCAACCATCAAAAAATTGGGGTACTCAAATATCAGACAATCACGTATATGGTCATGGGCCAACAAAACATGGATTTCATAGTGATTGAATGATGATTTAGTGGTGATATTTGGGGAAACCCCGGAAATCCAACACTAATGGTGATTTAATGCGATATCTTGGGGATAATCATTGGAATCTATTGCGATATGATATAAGGCGATATTAATATCTATATATATAACATTATATATATATGTGCATTCATATATATATATGTACATTAATATCTAGCATGTTCAACCATGTTCACGTTCATTACATGAAATGAGGTATGCTCATCTCATCACGGAAATGCGAGAAATCCGATAGGTCCAGGAACCGTCCATCAAATCTGGCACAGCCGCCACGATAAACAAAGCGAACCTCAGTGCTTTCGCTGGATCACGTACGCCCCACGTGTCTTGGGAAAACGAAGGAAGATGAAGGAAGATGAAGGAAGATGATGGAAGATGATGGAAGATGATGGAAGATGATGGAAGATGATGGAAGATGATGGAAGATGATGGAAGATGATGGAAGATGATGGAAGATGATGGAAGACGATGGAAGATGATGGAAGACGATGGAAGATGAGGGAAGATGCTACCCTGGATACCCGTAAATACCTGTCAACCAGTAAAATCTAGTAAATAGACATGGACAATCCAGCATTTTTTAAGGATCGTTTCTTGGAAATCATGGGTTGTCCATATGATGTGAATTTGCCCCGGGGTACACGATTGTACTATATTCTTTTTCCTCAAGTACTGAGAATTCCTGCAAAAAAATCTACGTCTTCAGAACTTGGTGATTTACTGGCGGAAAACAATCCGGGTTTACCTGGGGTATCTGTCCATTGTTTATTCGTGGGAACCAACTGAAAACAATCAAGACTCCCATATATCCCAGTCATCAACTGGGTTGCAAATGCCCCACTCACCATAAGGCATGCTAAGGCGGCATGCTAAGGCGGCATAAGGCGGCTATCTTCTACTTCAATGAGGTGAAAGAACCAGCTGAAAACTGGCAGCAAAGCACAGCATCAACCCAAGTAGCTTTCAGCAGCCGTTGGGAGAATTGGATAGAATTGGCGGGTAATATGTAGCTTCTCAGATACATGATGTTTATATATTTTGATGACATACTTCATATTTACTCCCAATTTGATTGTCATATGAATTCTCCTATGTTGATATCTCTATATACATATTATCTTCTATGCCTTTCTGAAATCGACGCCCAACCAGGAGACAAGCGATCGCCATCTTGATTCGCCTCAGGTCCTGGACAGCCAGAAATCCCCCAAAAAATCCTCTGGAGTGGGCGGAGATGAGGACAATGTCTTTGGCACCACAGCAAGTAGCCTCTGGTAAACATACCAAGTTAGCTATCCAAAACATTGCCAATCAGCCAGATACCCTGCAAAAAATTAAATTCTTTGCTGGTGAACGTAGATATTCCCATTCATACCAAAAGACTAAAGGATTAAAGTATCCATGTAAGATTGACCTAGAAAATGGCCCAGCCGAAATAGTGGATTTACCCATTGATAGCATGGTGGATCTTTCCATAGTTTGTAGTTGATTTACCTATTAAAAATGGTGATTTCCCATATATAATGGGAAAAAAAAGATGGTTGAAACCACCAACCAGTGCATGGGGATTTGAGGACTGAGTCCTGGTCCCTTGGCCGCATAGGAGTGTGCCTTCTCGGCTATGCCTGGCACGGTCCCGTGGGCAAAAACGAAGTCCTGACACACTGACAATGACGTGGTTGCTTCGAAATGAATCCATCATATCGAAATCAATCATATGATATGATATTGATATAGTCTATAGACATGTCTATAGACATGTACTGGTTGGTGGTTGACCTACCCCTCTGAAAAATGATGGAGTTCGTCAGTTGGGATGATGAAATTCCCATATATATATATTATGGAAAATAAGTCCAATTTCACTATATAGTCTATAGGTGATATACCTATAGTTAATGGGATTATCACCAATTTATAACTGGAAAAATAAATGTTCCAAACCACCAACCAGCCAGCCGTATTTTTGTGACACAAGCCAGTCCCAGGCCCGGCGCCTCCCAGCCAAGTTCCCTTGGTCAAGTGCCCGCAGCCAGGGTCCAAGCCGTTCTCCAAGATCAGTGGCGCATAGTCCTGCCACTGAACGCTGGGAAGAGATACGCGAACGTGAAAAGCGAACGTGAAATACCAGGAAAACATAGGAAAACATAGGAAAACTGTGGAACATAGGAAAACACTGTGAAAAATACCAGGAAAACACAGGAAAACTCTGTGAAAGCAACTGAAATACAATTTAATCATTATACCATTCAAAAGATGAAATTTCCAGGTTGTACAAGTCGTGCCGAAATGGCTCGACAAACGCCCAGGCTTTGTGGGGGTCTTGATGGATTCGACCTCCTGAGGTATCACTGCCCAGCAGATTTCGTTAAGTTGGCGTTCCGAATGTGCCGTATGCCTTACAAATAATGACATAATTAATTTACATATGTAATATATTACATATGTAATATATATATATATAATATAATATATAATAGTATATACTTAATCAATTCGACACTTAAATATCACATGATTTTGAGCCCTCTCCATGATTCAGCAAGCAATCCCCCAAACATTTGCCGACAGGGATTGCATCCATCCAGAGCCACCCCGGCCGTTCCGGTTCCGCGGTCCCAGCGTGTTCCATGCATCAGCATGAACTGCTTGAATGTCTTTCGCTCAGTCTTCTGCTTCGCAATGGATTCCTCCATTTCAATGGGCTGCTTTTTGGACATGTGCAAAGAGAATATCTATGAATTGGTATGATGTACCCTGGGCTATACAGAAAGATGGGGATTTGAGCGTGGAAAAGCCCATGCTTTGCCTAGGAAAATGATCCAGAAATCATGGGTCCCCCGGATCGGAGTCTCCTGTTCCTCTGCCACAAATCGACGGAGTAGGCTCGGTTGCAGCACCCGTTTCATCCTTGGAAACATCAACAAAAAACCATTTCGGTCACCTTTTCAAAACGCGACTTGGAAAGAACAGTTTTCTATGAACTTGCGAGACTAGAGAAGATAGTTCCGGGAGAACTATAGTGAAGGGATCATAGCAACCTTAGCAGCAAAGAACCACCCCAGAGTGTGATGTTTTGCCCTTGGGGCAGCATTATCTTCTCGTTAGGCATATGGCAGCCACTTCCCGAGTTACCATAGATCTGCAGCGAGGTTCTCAACAATTTTCACCCTCTCTGCAGGCATGGTCTCGAAAAAGATCTTTTCAATGCACTGCGTTTCATTCCTCGGAAGGAGCAGGAAAAACAAAACAAACCACACGCAATATGTAAGTCAGATGGCAAGTGTGCGCGTATATATATATATATATATATATTATACGCATATAATACAGTATCTATGTCTAGTGGCGCATACGAAATCAAACAAGTCGAATCCACCAAGAATGGCTACCTTTCTCAATGAGCTTCCCATTTTCAGACAGAGCGGTGGGGAAGTTCTGGTGAATACACAGGAGTTGGTTTGGTGTGCCATTTATAAAATCATCATCGCTATGTAACATGCACCTACAAAATGGCGCCCTATAGTAAAAAAAAAGTTCATAAGCAGTTAAGTTGGAATGTTTGCATACATATATAGTAACCCCCAAAATAGTAGGAATTTACTTTCAACTTCTATCTTTGTCTATATAATCTATATACTTACCATCCATAAACCAACATCCATCACTGGGGCTCCCTCCGTTGTGCCCAGTGGCGCTTGGATGGGCTCGTTAGAGCCACGCGTCGACTTCCAAATCTCCAGCAATTCACCCAGTTGCTGCTTGGCCACGCTGATGCCTACAGTGGGCACGGCACGGTTAAGGGCACGGGGGGTAGGGCCAGGGGACCCTTAAGGGGACCCTTAAGGGACAGGAGGTTCAAATGATCTTTGGGGCCAGGGGTATCCAAAATTTAGACCAATACCATTCAATGTAATCTGGGTAAACCAATAATAAATCATAAACCACCCATGACTGGGAATGGGAACCATACCACCTATAAAAATGGTGATGGCTGGGGGATGGTGCAGATGGCATTGTTTTACCCACATTATACCAATGTATAGAAATGTGTTCAAAACAGGGATGCATTCAACCATTTCGATATGGAAAATGCAAAGGTGACTATCCAGACTCAGACCTTTGATCATCACCGCCTCCATGGGGAGTGAGGAAATGCTTTTGAGCCCATGCAATTTTTGGGGCAAAACAAAGTAAAGAAAAATATGTGGTTCTGACAGCTTAGATACCCGATATCAACAATATCTGGAATAATCAAAGTTCATTTGATTGCATACTTGAACATCTTGTATCGATCATGTTAAATAAACTTAAATATGAGTAGCCTTTTGCCGGGGGGAGACCATACACAAATAAATGTAAGATACATGTTTCAAGGTCTTTTTGAGAGGGGGCCTTGAAAAAATATGCTTACATGTTGAAGGTAGTTTTCAAATACCCGCCCAACAAAAACGACAGGACCAAGGGGACGTTCAGCCACCAAGTATTACACGTTACAAGTATGGTCCCACCTGAAACAGGGGCGACAGGGGTGTGATGTGGCACCTCGCGCAGTTGGATCCGGAGAAGGAGTACGGCTGATGTCATCCTGGATGCCGATTTGTTATGATTTGTCGGGTTCATCATCACAAATATAGGGATTGATTGTAAGACATCTTTGACACCAGTGATCACCAGTGGTGTTTCAATCCCGAAAAACAAGGTCGACAACCTGTCATCCAAGGATTGATGGAACAATTTATGGGCGAGAAAGCTGTTGGACCTTTTGAGATGGGATCATCGTTCTGAAGTAACAAACGGACCAGTCATGGGGTCGTAAGTCATGGGGGATCCCCAAGTCACCATTGGATCCCCATTGGTTTGAATACTAAGTCATGGTCATCCATGACGACTGGATTATTTGGGGGTACCCCCATGACTCAGGAAACCTCCATGTTAAAACATAGACGCTACAAGTCCAAGGACCGTTTGTGAGGGGGAGTCTTGGATATCACCAAACATAAGCATAATTCAGGGAAACCCTCGGACACCTGCCACTACAAGTGCTACTCACATGGGGTCTGGAAATGGGGTTCCCCAGTTCCTTGCAACTGTAGTAGGTCCATATCCAGGTGTCCATCGCCAGGTACCAAAACCCTCAAGGCCAAGCATCTGCTGAGGAGGGATCCTCACTCATGGCCCGGCTTCCGGGCGAACAGGGGGACCCGGTGCCATTGGGAGAGGAATCTGCACCCACCACCCGAACCTGATAAGCCTGGCACCGCGCGGAGTCAAGCGAAACCCCTGGTTCTCACCAAGAATTCAGTGGATCAACCCACTTTTCACCAAGGAAATATGCAAATAGACATATAAAAAAAAAATATATATATATAGATAGATAGATAGATGGATGGATAGATAGGTAGATAGAGAGTAAGGGACTACATAAGTGGCATGCCAGGAGTTGCGGTTAAGACAAATCCCGCCCAAAAAGTCCCGCCTTCAATGCTGGAGATGTGCAGGCTCCAAGTGGCCAACTTGCCATACCTCTAAGGATTGGCGCCATTTCGACGGGATTGGTCCAGGAATTCTCTGCGGAGGGATTGGAATGAAAACAAATAAATAAATAACTATTATTGTGTATATATATATTATGATATACATATAAATATATTATGATCATTATTATTAAATTAATTATTATTTTATTATTCTATTATTATTACTATTATTACTATTATTATTATTATTAATATTATATGTATATATATATGTATTATATATATACACGTATAATATAATATACTGTATGTGAAAGGTCCAGTTGTCATGTGATCTCATGCATTCCATTCGCCTCCGTCCGAACTGACCGCTACATATCTCCACCAACAGCGGTGGGAGGGAGCGGACACAAATGCGTCAAGGACAAAACAGGCAGGGCTTGTGGTAGGGTAGACAGGGTCTCCCAATATAAGAGAGTGAATTCACATTGGTAGCGGAGCCCTAGGGCTGCCGCGGTAACTAGTGAGACAGGGTTCCACAAACAACAAAAACTCACAGCCTGTAGGACAGTGCTGAGCCATGGCAAGTGCAGCTGCTACCGCGGAAGCAGCGGGATCCGGGGGGAATTCGTTGCCGTCCTCTTCCCTTCCTTGGCATCAGATACCTCGGTTTGAACCAGGGGTGACAGACCTGAGGAACTACGCCAGGAAGCTGGAATTCATACGAGATCTGTGGCCAGAAGAGCACATAGCTCATTTGGCACCCAGAGCGGCCTTGCAGGTGGATGGAGTTGCCTTTCAAAAGGTCGCTCGACTGTCGACGGAGAAGCTGAGGACGCACGATGGAGTGCGCTACTTGGTGGAAGCCTTAGGTGGCCAATGGGGTCGGCTCGAAGAAGAGGATCGATACGATCTCTTCGAGAGAGCCCTTTATGGAACAATTCAGAAGGCTGATGAGACCAATGATAGCTATCTCAACAGACATGACATCTCCTTCGAGGACCTGGTGACCAAGAAGGTGCAGATCGATGAATTCCGAGCCTACGTGCTTGTTCGCCAAAGCACTCTGAGCTCAGAGGACAGGAAGAAGATCATCATGGAAGGTGGTGGTCGTCTCAAATATGAGGACGCTCGAAGAAGCATCCGATTGCTGGGATCCAAGTTTTTCCAGGACTTACAAGGGACTGGAAAAGGGGGCAATCGCCAAAAGACCTATGACATCCATCACATGGAGGAAAATGAAGAAGTGGCCAACTATACTATGGCAGAACCAGAAGCTGATGAGGAAACCATCCTTCAAGCTATGCTGGACGAGGGTGATGAGGATGCCAGCTTCATTCAAGACTTTGAAGAGCAGGTGATCTTGACTTGCCAGGACAGTCAAGAATTGTCATCATGCTTCACGGCATATCAAGAGGCACGAGATCGGCTTCGTGAAAAGGCAAGAACGAGAGGCTATTGGCCCTTGAAGTCTGGGAACAAAGGAAAGGGACGAGGAAAAAAGGGGAAGGGCTATGGAGGTGGATCATATGGCTCTTCCATGGCGATCAATGTCAAGAGGAGAAGCTTGGCGGAAAGAATCGCCAATTCCACGTGCAGGCGCTGTGGACAACCAGGCCACTGGCGTCGTGAATGCCCTTTGAACAATTCCGAGACTTCCAAGGACAAGACGGCCTTCACGGGGGTTTCAATGGATGATGCCACGGAGGATGTCACCGCCATACAGGATGTCTTGACGACTCTGCCTGAGGATGCTGAGCTCTTTGACCAGGACGGGGAGGACCAGGCGGAATCGAAGACTGTAGGTCAATTGTTTCACAACACTTTCAATTTGAACTTTCAAGAACACATCAACTTTGATTTTAAATCCTCCGCTTGTTCCCAAGTTTTGTCAATCAAATCTCCCAACTTGGAAAATTCAAGAGAATCATCATCTGAAGTTGAATGTTTTGTTGCAACGGTTTCCAACTTTTCAAATCAACTCGCAGCCAATTTGCACCAATGCTGTAGGAAGCACTTTTCTCCAGTGCGCGATGAAGCAGCCGCAGTGCCTGACCTTGACGGATCAGCCAGCACAGATGCAGGGCTCGGTGCGGAGTCAAATTCAAAACTCCGTTTTTCTGAGGCAACCTGCCTTTTTAATTCCGAGGAAGCAGATGGTGATGCCATAATAGATACAGGGGCAAGTCGGGCCGTGATTGGGGAGAACCGTGTTCAGGGCATGATTCAGTCATTACTCCCACATTTGAGGAAGTTGGTTTATCGGGCCCAGACCTCTGGTGTTACTTTCAAATTTGGGAACTCAGCCAAGTTGACCAGTCAGTATGCACTTTTGCTTCCTCGAAGTCAAAATGGCTGGATCCGTGTTGAGGTGGTGCCGGGTCAAACTCCGTTCTTAATCAGCAATTCAATCCTTAAGGGACTCAAGGGGATTGTAGATGTAGACGGGAAAAGGCTCAGGTTCAAAGGTCATGACCATGAAATCAGACTTCACCCATGTCGCAGGAATCTTTTAGGAGTCAAAGTGGTTGAACTTTTGATGGAATCACCACCATCCCAAAATGTAGGAACCCCAGAAGAAACCATCATGCAAACGGAAGGGATAAAACATGAGAGTCCGGAAGTCACCTCATATCCACCAAAGGATAATGAACATTTCCAGCGAGGGAAAACATGCCAGGCAGGGTCCACGAGAACAGGTCATGTCCAAGATGTTAGGTTCCAAGATTCCCAAACTGATTCCGGTCAATATCCAAAGAGCAGGGTTCTGACATGTGAAGAACCATCACTTCCTGTAGATTTGGATCAAAGTGATCAGAAGACCTTTCAATTCGATTCGACTGTGACCCATGGCAGGGGAAAAGAGTCAACCATATCTGACCACGGAACTGCAACTCCCGGTGGACGAATCTCTCGAGTTCAAGGAGATTCACAATCAGGATGGAGAGATCAGGAAACCTCCAGGTGTCACAACACTGGAGGAATGGGGCAAGATACATGCTCCTTCGGGAAAGCACCCGGGCAAGACATTCCAGGAGATCTTCGACCAGGATCCCAACTATGTTTTTCAACTGAGGAACAGACGAGGAGTGTCAGCCTGGGTCCGCAGTTTCCAGATGTATGCCAGGGCTCGCAACGAGATTATCAATCGCAATCTGCAGGCCGAGAGACAACAGCAGATGCCGATTCAACCAAGGGCGACAACAGAGATCAACCAGGAGTGGACCGCAGTCCATTGTCCACGGACACCGGCGGAAGTGGGAACAAGCAAGAAGGGAGAGCTCAAACGATCAGCCAGCGAGGAGAAGTCCGGGATGAATATCGAGAAGAACCAGGACAAGATCACAGATTTACAAACCAAGATCGCTGTGCTCCAACGCGAGCTTGCCCGGGAGACCGAAAGGTCCAGTTCCAGTGGCCAATCCAAGGAGATGGCCGAAACGGCCTGAATCCACTGGATCAAGAAGTTGCCCATATCATGAGCGATGGACCCCTGAAAGGTCTGAAACCCCAAGAGGAATTAAAAATCCATGAAGCAATCAAACAAAGGACCATGGAGATTGAACAGATCTTACATGTTTGGGAGAATGATCGGAAAAAGGGGATTCGAAAGACCGAAGCTGGGGTGAATAGCAGGCAACATCTTAGTTCCCACGGACCACAGGTTGATTTATTGGAAGTTTATTGTGAACCCAATTCTCAACTGTCAAATCAAGTCAATGCCAGGGGAGGATGTGCCATACGTTTTAGTAGGACGGATGGGGATCTTTCCACAGCTGATGGGGTTCAAAAGTTATGGACATGGATCATGTTGTATGAACCACTCCATATTTGGGTAGCACCCGATTGTCGATTGTGGGGAATGTTCTCTCGGTTTAACATGGGAAGAGGGACATCCATGTTTGAGAAAATCCAGTTGGAAAGACAACAGGAACGATGCCATCTACAATTGTGCAATGACATATATCTTCACCAAGTGGGTTTAAATCGTCATTTCCATTTAGAACAGCCTCATGGTTCGGAGATGATAGATCAACCTGATTTGAGTGACACTAAGATGGGAACATTGCAAGCCACGTTTGATATGTGCCAGGTCGGTAAACTCAGGCTTCCAAATCATGAAAAATACCTCCAAAAGAAGACATGTGTGCATACCACAAGCCGCAGTATGTTTGAAGGGTTGCATCAAAGGGTTTGTAAAGGGGAACATGCACATGACCACATAGAGGGGAAGACCAAAATCAACGGGAAATGGGAAAGTGTGTCAAGTTATGCAAAGGCATATACGGGGGTGTTCGCACGACAGGTGGCCAAGATAATATGCCGAACTGGAATCCCTGAAAAACCGTTGTTGGTTGAGGAAATGATCCTTGGTTTGGAAGGACATGAGGAACCCGAGATGGCACCAGAGGCACTGCAGCTGCAAAAGCGTCGTCGTGTCTACGACAAGCAACCAGAAACATCCATGTATGGTCGTGCACCGACTTGGGAAGCTGTTTTTAGGACTGTTGGGTATCAGACCCCTAGGGTTGGAAACCACTACTTTGGGGAAGGAGAGATGGTTACTGGTTTGGTTCAACAGTTGGTGCCTGAAATGGAAATTAAAATCATGGTTGCTTGCAGGGGCACTGACCGTCATAGAGTGTTGGCAAGTGGCCCTGGTATGGAAAAGTATCCCTGGAGGAAGACCATCCTTGTTGATCGGGGTAGTGGGGAAGTAAGGGTTACAGGGCCTATGGAGAAATGGCTAGCACTTCCCAAGTTGAAACAAATACGAAAGACAGGGCCAGCCAAGATCTCTTTGACTGTTTTTGGCTACTCTCGTGAGCGTCATGGCAATGAAGCCAACATGATGCGCAGTGCAGAGCCCAAAGTGGCGGAATCTGACATTCCATCACCTGCTTTAAATGCAACTGGCCCCGGGGAAACATTGGGATCCTTCGGACATGATCCCAAAATCACCGAAAGTCTGGAGGACTTAGCCATGGAAGATGTTTCAAGTGAAGCACATCGTCATGAAGAAGGATGGGCACCCCGAATTATTCCCAAATCTGGTCCCAATTTTCTAAGACTAGATGCTGGAGAGAAAAGGGATTTGAAGCGTCTTCATCAGAATTTGGGACATCCTGATGCCAGTAAGATGGTAAAATTTCTTCGTGAGAGAGGTGCTAAACCTGAAATCATCCAGGCAGCGGCCGACATGCAATGCGATACATGCCTTGAGTCTCAAGGAAAACCCAAGTTGTCTCAACCCTCAAGAATTCATGGGAACCTTGATTTCAACGATGTTGTTGGTTGTGATGGGGCTTATTGGACGAGTTCTGGTGGGGTTCAATACCACTTTATGCACTTTATTGATGAGGCAACCATGTATCATGTTGGGGTTCCAAGTGACCGTCATTTTGAGGCACAAGTCCAAGCCTTTGAAATAGCCTGGACACAATGGGCCGGACCATGCCGTTTGCTGTATCTTGACCCTGCGGGCGAATATAACAGCGATGAATGGGCAAGGTACCTTCAGTCTGAGGGCATTAAAGCCTCGATGACGGCCGCTGAAGCTCACTGGCAAAATGGTCGGTGTGAGGTGCATGGGAGAATAATCAAAGAGATGTTGAGTCGCATGGACAAGGAGGTCCCAGTGTGTTCAGCTAGTGATTTTCAGAAGAACTTGCGTCAGGCTTTTGCTGCAAAGAACTCTTTGAGTAGAATTCATGGCTTCACACCAGAACAATGCCTCTTGGGAAAGTCCAAAGCTTTGCCAGCTTCCCTGACATCCGATGAGGAAGTAGGTAGTCACGTATTGGCTGATAGTGATTGCCCGGAGGGAATGTGGTTTCGAGAAAGCCTCCAACGCAGGGAAGTGGCTCGCAGAGCCTTTGTACAGGCTGACAACGACTCGGCTTTCAGAAGAGCCTTGCTGCGTCGAAACAGGCCAGGTGTAATTGATTTCATGGCTGGTGACTGGGTGCTGTACTGGAGAAAGGCTAAAACTAATTCTAGGCTAGAGCGAGGGCGTTGGCATGGGCCTGCTCAAGTGATAGTCATAGAGGGCAAGAAAGTTGTTTGGTTGAGTCATTTGGGCCGTCTCATCAGGGCCAGTCCAGAACAGTTGCGACCTGCGTCACTACGAGAGTATCAGCACCTACCCAAGGGAGTTGATGGCAATGTCATGGACGAGATACCTCAGGGGAGGGGTTTTCTAAGTTTGGGGGATGACCCAGAAAGTTTTCCAGGTGTGGTAGCGGGCAACCCCGAGGAATCAGAAGGATATTCTCCCTCAGTAGGTGTGAGCATGTCAAATGGCCAAGAAAATTCACAACCGGAAAATGAGATGTTTCCACCGGAATCGCTCACCTCTGGTGACCCAGACGAAGGAAAAGATGTAGGGGATACAGGGGAGAAGGATTTGGAACCTCATGAGATACCTGTACCTGATGAAGAAGATGGTTTGTTTGCTTTTGGGGATGATTTGGAACCACCTTCCGAAAAACCTGGAGTCTGGGAAATCAATTTTGGTGAGAGCCATTGGAATGACAAACAATCCAATCATTCCGAAGTGAGCTCTGAGCAAATTCACGTGTTCTTTGCAGAACAGGTCATGATAGCGTCCACTGCCAGGAAACAAAAGGTTGAGGTCAAATACAGGGATCTAGGTTCTGGTGAGCAGGAGTTGTTTGATGCTGCCAAGAACAAAGAGATAAAGGCATGGATCGATCATGGCACTGTCCAAAAGGTCACACGTGGTACTCTCCGTTCCGACCAAATTATGCGATGCCGCTGGATTCTCACATGGAAGGCACCAGAAGTAGGAGGAACTGAACGCCGAGCGAAGGCCCGTTTGGTAGTGTTGGGATTTGAGGACCCCGACATTTCAGAGGTACCCCGGGATGCACCCACTTTGTCAAAAGACGGCAGACAGCTCCTTCTACAGCTGGTGGCCAGCCGACGCTGGGACCTTCTGAACTTTGACATATCCACCGCATTTCTCAAGGGTCAGGGCGATGGACGACCATTGGGCATATATCCCCCTGAAGAACTTAAGAGGGCAATGAACATGGGGGAAAGTGACCAGTGTTTATTGAAGGGTGGAGCTTATGGACGGGTGGATGCTCCTTATTTATGGTATAAGGAATTGAGAAGGGTTTTGGAATCTTTGGGTTTTGTTGTTTGTCCTTTTGATGGTTGTTTGTTTTCATTGGTCACTGAAGGTCCAAATGGTCGCCCAGTTGTCAGGGGAATCTTGGGAATCCATGTAGATGATGGCATCGGGGGTGGAGATGACTACTTTAAAGGAATCCTCCAACAGCTCAAAGAAAAATTCAGTTTTGGGGCATACAACGAACATGAATTTGAATTCTGTGGGGTTCACTACAAGCAGTGGGATGATGGCACCATAGAACTTGATCAGAAGGAATACATGAATCGAATTGAACCCATAAATGTCCCAAAGACCCGTAGAGCGACCCCGGAAGCAGATCTGACAGACACTGAAAAACAGTGTCTCCGTGGACTTTGCGGAAGCCTTCAATTCGCCGCGGTGCACACTAGACCAGATCTCTGTGCAAAAGTGGGTCAACTTCAAGCTTGTATCCCGAAGGGACAGGTAAAGGATCTTTTGGAGGGGAACAGGGTTCTTTATGAAGGGAAGAAGCATCATGTGTGTTTGTTGATAGTTCCCATTCCAGTCAGAGATCTGACATTCTGTGCATTCTCCGATGCATCCTTTTCAACGGCTTCCAACCTGTCCTCTCGACAAGGGACATTGATCTTTGCAACAGATCAGCACATGTCTCAAAACAGATGGACAGTGGTTTGCCCAATGGCCTGGAGCTCAAGAAAGATCCCAAGGGTCGTGACATCCACTTTAACAGCAGAGGCCATTGCTTTAAGCAGCACGTTGGATAGGTTGAACTATATTCGGATACTTTGGGAGTGGTTGAAGAGCCCCGATGTTGATTGGACCAAACCAGAAGAGATCCTCAAAAGAGCACCAATGTGCAATGCAGTGACTGATTGTAAATCTGTCTATGATGTAGCAACAAAGAACGCAACGCCGGCATGTCATGAATACAGAACCTTGTTGGAATGTCTTTTAATTCGAGAGCGACTGCAAGAAAATATGTCCCTTAGGTGGATAAACTCACAGGCAATGTTGGCTGATTCGCTTACTAAGAGTATGGAGACGGGGTTACTCAGGGAGTGTTTGCGAACTGGTAGGTATTCATTGTGTGATGAATCTGAAACTCTACGTCAGAGAGCCACCAAAAGGGACAAATTACGTTGGCTGCGTGGCGATGGAAATGCAAAACAGACAACTGATGGTGAGTCACTGTCTTAAATTTTTTTAACAAAAAAAAGTTTTGATTTTAGACCAGTGTGAAAGGTCCAGTTGTCATGTGATCTCATGCATTCCATTCGCCTCCGTCCGAACTGACCGCTACATATCTCCACCAACAGCGGTGGGAGGGAGCGGACACAAATGCGTCAAGGACAAAACAGGCAGGGCTTGTGGTAGGGTAGACAGGGTCTCCCAATATAAGAGAGTGAATTCACAACTGTATATATACATATTACATAATAATGTATATATTGTATATTATGATATAAAAAATATTATATATATATATTATATATTATATATATATATATATATATTATATATATATTGTTTCCTCGTAAATCAGCTACAAGTTTTCGATGTTGACCTTTGGGATGAGGATCCTTAACGTTGCGGGGACCCACCCTAGGGAAGGTTAAAGACTCTCAAAGTCTCAAAATATGCTCAATGACCCGTGAAACAAGTGAAGATGCAACCGCCTTTGACCGAAGGGTACTATGACTGCTACGCTAATATCACATAATATCACCTGTAAAAACTCTACGGAGTTGGTGCTTAAGCCGCTCCTTCCCAACATCGAATCAACTTTCGAATATAACATGAAATAACATGAAATAACCACCTCACGCGTTGAAACAGTTTACACTACATGTGTTTCTTCGGTATCTTTTGGGGAGTTTCGCTGGAAACCACGGACTTGACAGTCCAGTACATGGACGCAACATTTCTTGTGCACCAATTCTGGGAGTCTCTCTTCTATGGATAATGAGTATGATGATCATCATCAACACCATCACTCTCTATGGATTATGAATATGGATTATGAGTATGATGATCATGTTTGATGGTTTTGATGATGGTGTTGATGATGACATCATACTCATAATCCATACTCATAATCCATAGAGAGTGATGGTGTTGATGATGATCATGGTGTGATGATGGTGAGACGGGAAGAATTGCCGTTGTTTCCATCGGAAGGGACCACCAAAACACGCAGCTGAGCTGCACATGTCAACTCCACCCGTCTGGGTAGAAGGTGTTGCGGAAGCTTTCCTCAGGAGGCTAGCGACATGACAAACCCAGGCTGCCCAGCAACATCCGGTGGGATACTGGCTTGTGGAAAGGATTGACATGTTAATTATTGTTTACTGAATTTAGTATTCAATGGGGGGATTTACGGTAATTTACTGATGTTACCATCTGGTTATTTAACATAGCAATGGAAAATCCCTTATAAATGGAGGTTTTAATGGGAAAGTCATCGATAAATGGGCCATTCTCCATGGCTATGTTAAATAACCAGAGGGTAATTACTGAATTAGTGTCGCCTGTTCATCCAACATCAATGAGGCTTCACCATGATCCAAATCATGTTCATGGGGAGACAACATGAGGCCATAGACCATGTGCAAATCTGTGCAGGGATTGAGATCTCTATATACTCAGACTGATATGTATATGTAGTATATCTGATTATATAGTATATCAAGTGCATATATATATATATATATATGTTATATATAGTAAAAACATATAAATCGATAAATACATGAATAGATGTGAATATGAACAAAATTGAAAAAAAAAAAACAACAAACAGCTTGCATACCATGCCAAGACACTCCGCCTCCGCGCGACGGTCGGGGCTCACGCTGCGACACCGCGCTTCGCGCGGTTCGCGCTCGGAGCGATCCGTCTTTTCGCCTGTTTACCCTCTGGGAGTCAAATTTTGAGCAATTTTGGACATCATAAATTGAGGTTTTAGTAAAATCAAGGTAAATCAACTATAAATGGAGATAAATGGTGGATTTTCTGGATTGGGCGTCTATTATATGGCTAGCATGAGGGATTTTTTTTTTCCCCTAGCAACAAGGGCTTATGTGCCAAATCGTCTATGGTTCATAATTTAAATCTCATAAGGTAAACGGGGGGTATAAGCTAACCATCAATTACAACTTCTGGGATGAGTATAATGGTAGATTCACAGCAAAGATGGTTGTTAACAAAAAAATGAAATATGTTCATAACCAGGCGAAATTACCGTGTACTGGAATGGTCTCTGAAGTTTGGAATCATGATTAGCAGTAGCAACTGGGTCATATCCCAATCTATCCTAAGAATCCATGAATTCTTTTTTGGTTGATCCCCATTTTCTTCGGCAGCCTCTCTTCAGAAGCGCGGCCTTGTTCTGGCGAGGCTCCTTGGGTAAAGGAAGGGGTCACCAGTCACCAGTTTGATGCCGGAAGAGACTGTCGCCCGCCATGAAGTTTGTATACTATAAAATATTATATATTATACATCTATATGTAATTATATGATATGGTATACACATATTTAGAGCAGAAATACACGTATATAGTTGTAGTTATAGTTATAGTTATAGGTATAGTTATAGTTATAATACATAACTCTATAGTCATATCATAACATATTACATATAGAGAGTCATCTTGGAATACATAGAACATGGAAACATCAACAACATCCGCATGCTTCAGGATGATTTCACATGCTTCAAAATCTCATATTCTGATCTACCAGTACTTCAGGATGATTTTGCATGTGCATATTTTGTCATCTTTGCATGATACAGAAATGCGCAACATCGCATAGACCAACTATGTATGGTCCCAGTTCCAGAGCACACATGGCTGCCAAAGTTTGCCGACCCATCTTTATGTCCACCTTGGGTCGTTGCTTACATCAACTGGCCAAACTGTTCAATGCCACGAGTCGATAAGGGGTTTCTTCCTCTTGATGTCCATGGGTGCAGAATAGATCACCTGAGTTCTGGCTTCAATCCACCGGACCACTGGACGGGCTGGACGGGGGGTGGACCGTTTCATGATATGATGTGACTGACTAAGAGGCCGAATATGAAGTGCATGGTGATTTGGACTGAGACTTTTATGATTTTTTAATATGTTTGTCATTTATTGACCCTAATTCTTGATGTTCAAAGAAGAGTTTTGCCTTAGAGGATTGTAACCTCTTCATGGATTTGCTTAGACTCGCCTGATCAAAAAAAACATCATCCTTCGCTGAGCTCCCAGTTTGGGATCACGTCCTGTCGGTTTCACCATGTTTCACCATGGCACATGGTAGGCTGGATACATGCGCTTGCCAGACATCATGCGCCAAACGCCAAAGGATCTCTCATCATCCTCACATGAGCCGTGCAGGCACCCTGAAAGACACATTGCGACATGCTTTGGCTGTATCAACCTTGAAACACAAGAACAGCATTTTTCTGAGGCCAACCAATTTTCATGATAAACGATATCATTTCTTCATATCCCCATCATGGGGCAAAAAATATCTATCATTATCTATCCAATAAATGGGCATGAATATCATTATCTATCATTATCTATCATTATCTATCATTATCTATCATTATCTGTCCAATATCTAAAAATAAACCATGAATCTATCCATATCCCCATTTCATGTTATGGTTCGTTGGATCCCCTGAAGCCTCTGATGACCTCCGAATTCCCCGGTGCTTTTTTTTTTCGGATCGAAGAAAAAAAGCTACCAAGTGATACCTCAGGTTTTTCTGGCGAATTACTCATGTATACCCCATGCTCTGCATAGATTCTATTGAATCTATTCTGGTTGGTGGTTTCAACCTACCCCTCTGAAAAATGATGGAGTTCGTCAGTTGGGATGATGACATTCCCAATATCTGGAAAAAAAAATCATGTTCCAAACCACCAACCAGTATTGAATTCCGTAAAAAATCCACGACCGGTAGATCACCAAGCATCGCCGTCCATCAGATCCGGCACGGCGGCGACCACGAAGAGCGCGAACAAGCGATCGCCCTCGGGGGTTTCAGGTCCTCACCGGGGCATCGGGCCATGGCTGGTGAATGGAGATTCCCCCATGGTAAATATAGGATTTGACCCATGCCCATTCCAATGAGAATGTTGTGAACATAGCATTTTTTTTATCATATCATGAGAATTGATGGGATTTAATAGGATTTCATAATTTCATGATGTTTTCTTAAGTCATGGGGGATCCCCAAGTCACCATTGGTTTCAAGACTAAGTTAAATGGACATCCATGACATGATTCAAGGGCTACCCACATGACTTAGGACTTGTAAATTAAGTACGTTCTGAACACATAGAACATGTTCAATTTCTCTCTGGTAGGATTTTACATGTTCATCTTTTTTTGGGGGGTTGCTATACTCTAGTATCGCCTGGTATTTGGGGGTGCATTCCATTTTTTTGCAGATGCTGTGCGTTGTAGTTTTTAGACGCGCACTGCGCAATCTATGTGGGTGCGTCTGAAAATGGGGTGGGGAAGGCGTGTACCCCCCAAATAGACATTTTGATAGGGACAATCATGACTAACCAGTGAATTTCAAGGTACCTTATTTCCAGACAAACGCGTATCTACATGTTTGTGTGCTTATTGATATTGGTCGGTAGAACCTCGTGCTTTCTCTTCCTTTATGTGGTGCGTACTATATCCCATCTAAAGCCCTGCAAGCCATGAAGAGCAACCTTTTGCAGGTAAATGCACTTAAAATCTTGCTCAGGACAACTGCTACACTACAGATTTAACTCCTGTAAAGCCAACAAATAAAAAACCTCCAAGTGGATCATGGCACCCTGGTCCTGGTCCCTTAGACGCGTAGGAGTGTGCTTTTTCAGCGATGCCTGTCGTAATGCAAAGGGGGGGCGTGCTCTGAAATGGGCTACCCTGGGTACCCGATACTAACCACAGAAAAAGATATTGAAAAAACACAATGTGTGATTTAAAAAAAAACTGGAAACCATATGGTCAATGGGAATTTCAGGATCCTAAAATGGAGGTACGTTAGTACCATATATAAGGCAATATTTTCTAGGGATATTCCCTTACATAGGCCTTATAAGTTCCTGAAATGGCCATTGAACCATATGAAACCATGGGCTTTTCAGATCTTTCTGCATGACCCTATAGGGGATACACAGCTTTTCTTTGCGAAATTGTGATCAGCCATGGGATGGATTCAAACGAATGGTATCATAACTAATGAGTATCCCATAATTTGAGATATTTTAGTATAACTAAGTGCCATATATGGGTACTCATTGAGTATTTAGTATCATAACTAATGGGTATCCCATAATTTGAGATATTTTAGTATCATAACTAAGTGCCATATATGGGTACTCATTGAGTAGTTAGTATCACAACTAATGAGTATCCCATAATTTTAGATATTTTAGTATAACTAAGTGCCATATATGGGTACTCATTGAGTATTTAGTATCATAACTAATGGGTATCCCATAATTTGAGATATTTTAGTATCATAACTAAGTGCCATATATGGGTACTCATTGAGTAGTTAGTATCACAACTAATGAGTATCCCATAATTTTAGATATTTTAGTATAACTAAGTGCCATATATGGGTACTCATTGAGTATTTAGTATCATAACTAATGGGTATCCCATAATTTGAGATATTTTAGTATCATAACTAAGTGCCATATATGGGTACTCATTGCGTAGTTAGTATCACAACTAATGAGTATCCCATAATTTTAGATATTTTAGTATAACTAAGTGCCATATATGGGTACTCATTGAGTATTTAGTATCATAACTAATGGGTATCCCATAATTTGAGATATTTTAGTATCATAACTAAGTGCCATATATGGGTACTCATTGAGTATTTAGTATCATAACTAATGGGTATCCCATAATTTGAGATATTTAGTATCATAACTAAGTGCCATACATGGGTACTCATTGAGTATTAGTATCACAACTAATGAGTATCCCATAATTTTAGATATTTTAGTATCATAACTAAGTGCCATATATGGGTACTCATTGAGTATTTAGTATCATAACTAATGGGTATCCCATAATTTGAGATATTTTAGTATCATAACTAAGTGCCATATATGGGTACTCATTGAGTAGTTAGTATCACAACTAATGAGTATCCCATAATTTTAGATATTTTAGTATAACTAAGTGCCATATATGGGTACTCATTGAGTATTTAGTATCATAACTAATGGGTATCCCATAATTTGAGATATTTTAGTATCATAACTAAGTGCCATATATGGGTACTCATTGCGTAGTTAGTATCACAACTAATGAGTATCCCATAATTTTAGATATTTTAGTATAACTAAGTGCCATATATGGGTACTCATTGAGTATTTAGTATCATAACTAATGGGTATCCCATAATTTGAGATATTTTAGTATCATAACTAAGTGCCATATATGGGTACTCATTGAGTAGTTAGTATCAATCATAACTAATGAGTATCCCATTATTTTAGATATTTTAGTATCATAACTAAGTGCCATATATGGGTACTCATTGAGTATTTAGTATCATAACTAATGAGTATCCCATAATTTTAGATATTTTAGTATCATAACTATGGGCCATATATGGGTATTCATTGAGTATTTAGTATCATAACTAATGAGTATCCCATAATTTGAGATATTTTAGTATCATAACTAAGTGCCATACATGGGTACTCATTGAGTATTAGTATCACAACTAATGAGTATCCCATAATTTTAGATATTTTAGTATCATAACTAAGTGCCATATATGGGTACTCATTGAGTATTTAGTATCATAACTAATGAGTATCCCATAATTTTAGATATTTTAGTATCATAACTATGGGCCATATATGGGTATTCATTGAGTATTTAGTATCATAACTAATGAGTATCCCATAATTTGAGATATTTTAGTATCATAACTAAGTGCCATACATGGGTACTCATTGAGTATTAGTATCACAACTAATGAGTATCCCATAATTTTAGATATTTTAGTATCATAACTAAGTGCCATATATGGGTACTCATTGAGTATTTAGTATCATAACTAATGAGTATCCCATAATTTTAGATATTCTAGTATCATAACTAAGTGCCATACATGGGTACTCATTGAGTATTAGTATCACAACTAATGAGTATCCCATAATTTTAGATATTTTAGTATCATAACTAAGTGCCATATATGGGTACTCATTGAGTATTTAGTATCATAACTAATGAGATATCATAACCCATATATTACTCATTGAGTATCATTAATTAGTAGATCATACTACTAAGTGCCATATATGGGTATTCATATGTGCCCAGGGTACTCATTAGTATCATAACTAATTTTAGATTTTAGTATCATAACCCATAATTATTCAATGAGTATTTAGTATCATAACTAATGAGTATCCCATAATTTTAGATATTTTAGTATCATAACTAAGTGCCATATATGGGTACTCATTGAGTATTTAGTATCATAACTAATGAGTATCCCATAATTTTAGATATTTTAGTATCATAACTATGGGCCATATATGGGTATTCATTGAGTATTTAGTATCATAACTAATGAGTATCCCATAATTTTAGATATTTTAGTATCATAACTATGGGCCATATATGGGTATTCATTGAGTATTTAGTATCATAACTAATGAGTATCCCATAATTTTAGATATTTTAGTATCATAACTAAGTGCCATATATGGGTACTCATTGAGTATTTAGTATCATAACTAATGAGTATCCCATAATTTTAGATATTTTAGTATCATAACTAAGTGCCATATATGGGTATTCAATGAGTATTTAGTATCATAACTAATGAGTATCCCATAATTTTAGATATTTTAGTATCATAACTAAGTGCCATATATGGGTACTCATTGAGTATTTAGTATCATAACTAATGAGTATCCCATAGGTGTCCATCATACCCTGTGATAATCAAACGTGGCAAACGCTGGAACATCTCCCATTGACAAATGACTTTCCCAGCGAACTAAACCTGCACTTGGGTCTTTCGGATTCTCCATGTCCCAAGTATATCCCAAGTACCCTCTGGTAAACATACAAAAAGCTATTGAAAATGGCCATTGGTAGTTGATTTACCCATTAAAAATGGTGATTTTCCATAGTTATGTTAGTTTACCAGAGGGTATCTCCCCATAAATCCCGGCCCTAAGAAGTTTTATAAATCTCGGATTTTGTGGATCCAACCACCGGTTCCCGGGGTTCCCGGGGGTTCGTGGGGGTTCCGAACGGCCTCCCAGCCAAGAGCCTTTGGCTAAATGTCCACAGCACGGGTCCAAGCCATTCTCTGCAATCAGAGGGGCATAATCCTGGGAAACCGGCGACTGGGAAACTCCGGTCAAAACCAGTGTTAAACGGATAGAAACAAGTGGTTTATCATGGTTTATCATGGTTTATCATGGTTTATCACTATTTGTCAGTAGGGATTTACGAGATTTCTATTGGGGAGAACTATATTAATCTCTATATTTTCATTTATTTACAAGTGCCATGGTCATCTGTCCCATCATGGAAATGTCCAATACTGGCTACAGTGACTACCAATGGATTGATGACCCCAGTGATTTTTTGCGCAACAAACACTCATTGGGATGCACATTGACCTGGACCATTGGTGTTGACCTGGGATGGGTTCAAAGGACTACTCTGTATATTGAACCTAGCTACAGAATGGTGCCCCCCAGTTATAAGTTGGTTTATAACCCCCATTGACTATAGTTATATCTACCATAAACCATAGTTATGGGAGTTATTTATAAACCAACTTAGCTACGTTAGTTTAACATGATAAACCATGATAAACCCATAGGATCTTTGGGTAGCCGCTGATTCACAAACCTTCACGACGGGAAAACACTTAGACCGCCGCTTGCGTTGATCTTCTCAAAACACATCGGCAGCAATGGACTCATGACATGCTTGGTGGTTTTACCCTCGGGTAATTTGTTACATATATGCATAGCTATGGAAAATGACCATTTATGGTGAGTTTTCCAAATAAAAATGGTGATTTTCCATAGTTATGTTAGTTTAACAGAGGGTAACCATCTTGAAAAATGATGGAGTTCGTCAAAGGGAAGGATAAAACTCCCATATATGAAATGGAAAATAATCCAGTCATGTTTGAAACCACCAACCGTTGTATCCTTTTTTTTAGGGCTTCACATCAATGCACTAGCCACACTGGTCCAACTTCCGGATCTGTCCCGGATCAGCCCGGATCAGTCGTTGCGCGTTGCGATTTAAGATCGGCCCTCTGAGAATTGAACATCAAAAAAGGCCAAAGAAAACACGATCCAAAAAACATGTAGTTCGATGATTTTCCCAAACATATTCAAAGCAATTTCAAAGCTCCATTTACTTCGGGCATTTCGGATTTCCCATATGTTCCGAATTGTGTCCCTATGATTTTCCCAGCAAAATCACACCGTTTTGCGGCGGCTTTATGGCGTTGCCTTGTGTGTTCTGCCCAGGCTCCCATCGAGTTCCATGAAGCAGCATAAACCTGCGTCCCAGCGGCAAGGGTGAAGTGAGTTAAGTCTTTGAAACTCATCAATTTCTTCATGATACAAGTCAATAACTTGAACTAATAACAAAAAACATCAAAAACTTCTGAATCAGACATGAGTAATATCATGTAATATCAATGATCATTCGCTGAAGCCTAGCTTAAACCAGTACCCTTGGACCCATCCCATGTTGCAAATTCTGGGCTCAGTTTACACCAGGGAACTCTTTGTGGGTCTTCAGCTGACTCTCGTGCATGTTCATCGATGATTGCTCCTGCCAGCTGGGCGCCCGTTTTGGGGATCTGAAGTGACCTCAAACCAGGCTCTGAAAGTTAAATGGCATGGTAAGGGATACATTGCCAATCTTAGATACCCTGCAAAACCTTAAATTCTTTGCTGGTTAGTAGATATTCCCATTAATACCAAAAGACTAAAGGATTAAAGTATCCATGTAAGATTGACCTAGGATATAGATGCATTGTTATAGAAAAAATGCTACCTTTTACAACAACATTTCTTATATGCTATAAATTATAAATACTAACCCTCCCTCCCTCCCTCTCTACAATGATCATATTACAAGCATTATACACATTTTATACACACAATGAATCGTTCATGGTACACATCATACCTGATGCACCTTTCAACCAGCAACTCCTCCCGACAGAACTGGCTCAGCAGAGCGGGCTGCATGTTCCGCTTCACCTCTACAATCTTCACCTGAACCCCGAGGAAAGTCATGGGAAAGTTGACCTGATCATTGTGTTGAAATCCTCCAAAATGATCAACATGGGACTTAGACAGTAATATAATAGGGACTTGAACCATCAAAATTGGGAAATAAAAAAACATATTGTGATATATTGTGTATAGTATATTATATAAGAACAGTTGGAAACCTGGAAATCTATTGAACCTTCCTGAAAATAATTGTCTATCTTTTTTGGCGGTTTTATATGGGGACTTAATAGCTTAGAATTTGGTTGAAACCATCAAAACTTCGGGGTTGAAGCAGCAATTCTGGCGGAAAAAGCACCAGCAATTCTGGCGGAAAACTTATTTTTTTTTCCGCAAAAAATTGGGTCAATGTATCAGCATCTCTAGCTGCGCTCCAAACGTTCAACATACATCGCCTTTTCTGTTCTCCGAGAAATTGCTTCAGGAATCTGCAGAGCTGGTGAGTGATCAAATCAGAAGTATGTCTCTTCGTGGAAAATGTCTGATGGTGATGCCCTTCTGGTTGGTGGTTGCTGGTCATCATTGGGAGTGTCAATGGTTAATAGTGGTTAATAGTGGTTAATAGTGGTTAATCATTGGTTAATTATGTATGGTTGGTGGTTTCAACCTACCCCTCTGAAAAATCCAAAAGTCAGTTGGGATGATGACATTCCCAATATATGATGGGAAAAAATAAAAACATGTTCCAAAGCACCAACCAGTTATTAATACACCCCTTTGCGATTTTGTTTTCCCCAACGTTACCCGAGACCACAAAGGGAACTTTGGATACGGACATTTCTCGAAGTGGAGCACTCCGCCTGACCTTGTCCGAAGGCATGGTCTCAAAGAACACTTTCTCAATGCGTTGCTTTTCCTGTGGTCCAACCGCAGTCTCCTGTCGTGGCAACAGTCAGCAGCTCAGTTGCATGAGTGGAACCAAATGTTGAGCTATCCGCGTAAGTGTCGTATCTGATACCACCTGCAAAGCTGTTCAACGAATCCCTCGTTAATTTACTGTAATTGAGTTGAAAGTTGAACGGGAACGGTCTGAATCAAATATGATGACTTTAAACTGGCTGCATGGTTTAATTACTGGATTGGAAGTCGAGAATCCATCAGTGTTTGACAAGGTTCCGCGTGGCACAGGCAGTGCAAGCCACTTTGATCTAGCTGCCATCCCACTGCATCAGGCCGTTCTCCCATAAATTCTCCCCAAATATATATAAAAGATCAGAATGCTTCGAACATCGGGCGCCCAAAAATTCGAACATCGTTTCTCATCTTCGCCATATCTTCCCCTTTTCAATGGCTGCCGGGCTATCCCCTGCAGCAAGCCGCACAGCTTCGCACGCTCCGCACATCCAATGGGGATCGTCCTCTGAATGCCGGGTGGTCTTCCACAAATCCAGTAGCTCGGCCAAGTGCTGCTTCGCAGTTTGCCCTCAGCGAAGCGTCCGTTCGGTATTTTAAGCGATTTGGAATTTTCAGGGAAAACTCAACAGATCAACAACAGGTCTCTATATGGGGATTGAATGAAACATGTTCTGATTTTCGATGTCAGATGGTTTTGGACATTTGGAAAACTGTGCTTCTTTCAGTGTCCGCGGAGGGGCATTTCATTTAAGCAAGGTTTCGCCTTCCAATGCCAGACTTACGGTAGAAACTTCACTTCCTCTCCGGTCAGTTCCATGATTGAACATCCTCCATTTAGTTCGATGATACCCTCTCGTAACTATGGAAAATCACCGTTTTCAATGGGAAAATCACCATTTTCAATGGGAAAATCAACTATAAATGGTCATTTTCAATAGCTATGTTAAATTACCAGAGGGTAGTTCTTCATTTCGACACTGGGGATTCTCCATGGCCAGCCACGATTGATTACTGGGGGAAAAACACCACTTAGAGTATGTCATCCCCATGTCCCCATGATCCATGGCCTTGATGGTTTATTCTGACATTTTTTTACTGCAAATGACTTGAGTATTACTAAATGACTAGTGCCATAGATAAACATGATGGTTCCAACTATCATGAACATATTATGTATATATCATATATATATATATGTATCATGTCATATTTAAAATATAAATTAATATAATACATAGATATGTAAATCATCATTCTCATAAGCTGATTCCCTCTGTTTCTGGTCTCCTCATGGTGCATATTGCATCCCGAAAAGTGGGCGCCCAGGGGCTGGCAGTGTTGCTGGGTTCTGGAGATGGTGTTCCTGAGACGCGAGGAACCGGAACCAGACCTGGTTGGAGAAAACAGAAGTTTTGAAAAGGAAAACCCTTAAAAGAGGTGTACATGGTGTACATGGTACACTATTAGATGTTGTATATATATATATACAGTATATTATACATGTATGTATATATATAATATGTATGTGTATATATATATAATATGTATGTATATATATAATATTATATATATATATATTTGTTGCCACATTGTGTCTATATAATTGCTATATATGTTGGTTTCCAAACAACCTACCCGGTGAAGTCAATAAATGTCGCTCTCAAATTTGGTCCTTGACACTGGCTCCGCTCTGCATCAGCCGGGAAGCTACGACCAGTACGGGAGAACATGATCCAGGATACTTATTGTTGATGAGAAATCACAAATATCATATATATATATGTATATGATATACAAATATCAGATATTGATATACAAATATTATAAATATATTGCTGATCACAACTTGATATACAATTTTAACAGCAATCCCAACGCTTGCCAACAATCGATTCAATACACTAACAGCACCTAGATCTCTGACAAATCGATCTTGGGAATATCTACGATATCCCTAGAGTTGAGAATTTGGATGTGGTCAAACAGGGTCAGTTTAGTGGTGTTTAAAACACAAGTTCTATTGTGCACCCAGTGTGATTTCATTTCGGTTTCGTTGTAATGTTCTAAAGTTTGTTGATTGTGATTTGGTTTGTGCAAGGCCTTTTTCATTATCATGTTATCATGTCCAAATCATTAAACAAAACAAACAACATCAAACAACACATATTTCACAACTAATATCATAACATGCTTAATCAACTATGTTTAGTCATGTACTTGTTTACGATTTTTTTGGATGTGTTTGAGCCCCGGAATCGAAGTCATAAACACGAATCCACTTGTTTAACATCTTCAAGAAAACGATGCAGTTTTCAAATGTGTTCAACATGTTTCTAGTTGAAGAAAAACGTGCTGTAACCATGAGAGATATATGATGTGATTAATTCCTTAAAGTTGGCTTTTGAGACTTCCCCTCGGGGAATCAGACAGGGCGCGTTTGAACATGCACAAAAAACCTCTGACATCTTGGCACAGTTGCTTTTATTTTACAGCCATGGTTCTAAAAACTAGAAGGTAAATGGAAATTCCATGCCAAATCAATCCGTTTTTCACCCAGGAGTAGCTGGTTCCTCCAAAAAAAACTTCTGCAGAGTTGACTTGGGATACCCCGAAAAAATAACTTGCGTGGAAACTAGTGATGCAATTGTACATGATTCACCATCATTCACCAACCACAGAAAAAAAACTAACTTTACCATGGAAGCTTTTTCTATTTCTGGCCACATCCTTAAGACTGAAAGACTTGTGTTCCCGAATTTGATGCCATGTTACATGTTTTCCTCCAGAGAAGTGCCATGTTGCAGGAGATATACACAGTATATATATATATACATAATACATATATATATATATATTTACATAATACATATACATATACATACTATTATTATTATTATTATTATTATTATTATTATATATGACGATTTGCCAAAACTGTCAACAACTAGTACAAAACTTATGTCATTTTTGGCAACTTGTCATTCTCCCCGAGGATCATGGGATAAGTGAAGGAAACCGACACCCCTATAACCCATCCATTGGTGGTCAAAAACCCATGGGTTTCAACCAGACATTTGCCTTGAACCAATCCATTGAACATCATATGTGCTGCCTAAATAATCTCAAATCACCATTTTGATGCCATTGATCTCCATTTTCATAACAACATCGCCGGATTTGTCCAAAAAAAATGAGAAACACCATGGACTCCTTAAAGTCCTATGAAATCCCAGAAAATCCGAGATATCCATAGATCACCCAAGGCTCTGCTCAATTCCAGCGGAAACAACGCTTCTTCGTCGTCCTCGTCCCTGGGAGTCTTGGTCAACTCAGCCTTGGGCACCTGTCCACCTGGCCATGCGCATTTCGTGGGGTTAAGATGGTGGATGGATGACTCCAAAAAAACTGCGCAATTCTTTAACCAAGTTATATATATATATACACCGACATTAATTAATGAAGATTGGATTGAAAATTGATTCCATGAGTGCTTAAATGACGATTCGATGAACATCGACATTATATAGATGCCAGGGTTAAGTGACCGCATCCAGGGCTTTTGTGGGCTCAGGCCTGGGGACAAAAAGAACAAAAAGGCTGCTATATCATGCAATTCAATGGGTGTGTCTGAAAATAGTGTACCCCTAAACCCAATGGTTAATGATCATTATCCCAATTAAATGGCTATAATTGGGAATATACCGTATTTTCAGACAAACCCCAATAAAGGCCTGAACAATTCAGCTGAACAGCACATGAACACAATCAACAAGTGCAACAGAAAGTAGCAGTTTGGGTAATGCTCCGCACAGGACCCCCCAACAAGATGGTTTACGACCGCAAAGACGGGCCATTCCTGGGTTCTAAGTTTCTACGGCTTTGCATGGCCACATTTGCAAGTCAAAAACCAATTGTCTGACTGTTCGACCCACAAATTGTGCAATTTTGGTGCGTAAGATCTCAGTAGCTCATTGCTTAAAGTCCCAAATTATAATATATATATATAAGCAATTACTGTACTTTAAGTAATATATTGCTCATATAAGTTTCTGTACTTTGATTAATCATGTGAAACCGTGCGGCTCAGAGCCAAGTCTTGGTTGTACTTTTGAGTGGGTTGAAATTGGCTTGATTCCATATAGCGGGGTTCCTCCAATGGGGGACAAAACCATTGGTGTCAATCTATTTAAATCCCAATTTCTACTGGCTGAATCAAAGCTGAATCACATGATATCACATGTTTTGTTGGCATTTTGTGGGTTAAAGCCTCCATTTTACTGGTTGACTCACCATTTTTTTGCTGTTCATCATGGTCCCCTTCCACCGTCCCCGCCCCGCCTGCGCCCGTCACTGGTGCTTCCATCGTCGCGGTGCTGGAGGCGGCACCCGGCCCGGTCGGGCGAATGGGAGCCGCGGCCTGGGGCGAGAGTCTCCTGGTCTGCTGGGATTCTGCAGGGATACAACGTGGTGCCCCCAAGATAGCTAAGTTGGTGAACATAACTCCAATAACTATGGTTTATGGTACTTATAACTATAGTTAATGGGGTTTATAAACCAACAAACATCACTGGGGGGCCCCACATTGTACTCATTGGGGTACTGCAATGGAAATAATGGAATAATCAGTGGGATACTCATTGGGATAAGATTATGACTTACTCCACAGCATCGGACCCTATGGGGGGTACATGCATGTAACATGCATGTCTTATCTGGTAAGGGTTGGGATATCCGAATATACTCTCCGGTGGAAAATCAAAGGTGGCTGGGAAATCCCTGAACTAGATGGAAGTTTTACACTACCAGTCATGTTGAATTACCACTTGAAGCAGCAGCTCATGCTATTATTCATTATTTACAGATATTAAATATCAGTACAAAAACACACACATTTACTCGTAATTCAGGTCCACGGAAAAACCCGAGTTTTGTCCACATCTTTTTACATATTTACCCCAGCCGGACCAAATATGTACATTATTGTACACTGTATATTCATGTCACGTCTTTCCCAAATAAATAGAGAACAGCTTCAATTTACCACTATGTTAGTAAGATTCAGGAATCAGCCAAAAAAAGAGGTATTATAATATTATATGTCTATGTTTAGACTATACTATAGCAGGATTTTACAGACTTTAATTTTTTTTGGGCCAAAAAAATGAGTGGAACTTCCTCAGTTCCAGCAGCGCCTTCATCTCGCGGATGGGGATGTCCAATCCCTTGCGCTTGGGAACACCTTGCAATTGGAAAAAAACATGTGGATGGAATGGTAGAAACCAGAAAGATACAGCAACGCTTCCCTTTGCATTTTTTTTGGAAGCAACTTTCACTTTTCAAAATTGTCCCTTTTTTTTGGGCTGCTATATCATACAAAATGAAGATTGTGTAAACCAAGCCATTTATTGGGACACCATGGAGGATCCAGACGTTTTTTCCGGTCCACTATTTTTTATCGACGTATGGGTCGTGTCATCGGTGTACATTCATGGACTCACAGAAGTAGTTGGTCATCATTGGGAGTGTCAATGGTTATCATCAAGTCTGGTTGGTGGTATACCTACCCCTCTGAAAAATATGAAAGTCAGTTGGGATGATTATTCCCAATATATGATGGGAAAAAATAAAAACATGTTCCAAAGCACCAACCAGAAGTAGTATCAATGGGCTCAACCCAATGATCAAGCCAATGGTTTGGAACATAATGCAATATCTTTTTGGGTTTATCATTGCCAGCAGGAAGCTACAATGACACAGATCGGAATGTTGACTTCTGATCAGGACAAGCTGAATCCCAGAGAATGCGTCACACATCCTTTTCAGGTTGTGTCAACATCTTGGTACTGGCTGAAACAAAGAATTTCATACATGGCATTACCCTCTGGTAAACTGTCCCATAACTATGGAAAATCACCATTTTTCATGGCTAAATCAACTATTTCTATGGCCATGTTCAATAGCTTTTTGTATGTTTACCAGAGGGTATCCCGCCTTGCGGCAGCTGCAGTTGTGTCACAGCCGCCGGCGCAATGGTCTGTGGTGCCACTTGTGGCATATAACGAACGGCCTCCATGGGGCGTTGCATCCAGCTGGGCGCATAGACCCGTGGTGCATTGGAATCCTCAGTGGGATAGTGGATGGGATGTGAACAGAACATGCTACCTTTTTTGGGGAACAATGGGTTCAGGTATTTGGACGTATATTTGGTTATAAACATTGTTGTACATGGAGCAAGTAGGCTTAGGGTTGGTCCACTGAATCTGGACTTATCCCAGACTTATCCCAGACTTACCATCTGGTTATTTAACATAGCCATGGAAAATCATCATTTTTAATAGGAAAACCATCTATTTCTATGGGCCATCTATACCATGGCTATGTTAGTCATAACCAGAGGGTATCCCAGACATGTAGGTTGGATAAACCACATGACATGCCCATCTGGTTCGAACGGGCCGTCCTCCCAAAACCAAACCAAGAAACCATAGCCTTGGCGAGGCGATCTTTGAAAAAAAATCCACCGTTGCTGTGCTTGAGTCTTCTGTGGCCACCATAGATATATCCTCCGGTCATCAAACATGAGATAACATGAGCCTACCCCAAAGCAACAATTCATTTTAACTCATTTTATGTATTGACTTTCTATTACCAGAATGGTTTTCCTATCCTTATTTTGAGGGAACATGAACCCATTTCCAGAAACAAAAACATATTTTTCGTGAAATTCCCAGAGGTCATCAACGATGCTGGGATTGCACATGATGAGCGGCCTCCAAAAGCGTTTCGGTCTATGCCACTCGTCTGCGGTAAACAAGTCCGAGTCAATGGGGCTGAATCATCCCAAGATTCCCAAGTCCGGTGTCAGCGACAATCAATCACCAAGAAGTAAATCGATGATACTGGCTCCAGCACTGGGAGTTGATCCCGCTAGTAACATCTGGCACCAATATGGATGTCCAAATAACTCACCAAGATACTCAAACCTCAATTAACAATCCTTAACAGCCTGAACAATATAATATCATATATATATATATATTATACATAATGTGTATACACGGGATGGTAAATGAATTAATATACATATGACATAGATATATAACAAGTCTATACAAGTCTATACTTATAAAAGATCGAAAGAAGTCAAACGCACATAAAACTGTTTGAGACTTTTTATGATCTTCGTTTGCTGGTCTTGAGAGTACAGCAGGGAAAGCGTTGTGCCCTCCGGCGGTACTTGTCTAAGTGCTCCGGTTCTTTACACTTCGGTACAAACCGAGAGTCTGGTTGGGTTTCCTCCGACACTTGTATCGGAGTTTTCAACCAACCAAAAAAAAGTGCCAGTGCATTGACGATTCAAAGTCGTCAGTGTCTCAGTGCGCAACCACGGTAAGTTTCAAGCCTCTGGCCATGATGGCTGAACGTGTTTCAATGGACTACACAGCTCAGCATGGCCAAATCCAGATGCTGGGAGTCAAACCCAAATTAGACTGCAACCGGCACGTACATCTGCTTAATTCATGTGTATCATGATTCATCATTGAAGAACCTCGTTGAAGGCAAGATCCCATGTATGGCTGAATATTACATAATCTCATCCCTATATATGTACACATATATGATATCAGATACATTGCATATTAAACAATTAGGTTGATACACACTTTTATAACCCTGATAAAAATTATACACAAACCTACTGCATGCCTACTATGATCAGTATCGAATTCGTATACTGCTCATACCACACCTCCACTGCTCAGGGTCTGCTGCCTGAACTGCGGGCACCTTGGTGATACATCGGGCCATCTGTAATTAGTGGATGCAAAAGTTACAATATCATTGGGAAATTGCCCAACATATATATATATATATAGCTAAATATGATGACGTTAGCCATTATAGAACATATTCATGTATTTAAATCATGATTTGTGATAAGGATATATGTGTAGATATATAATTGATTTCTCCATTAGCAAACAAACAGGAATTATGATTGCCAAGATTGTTTGCAGGAGAGGACACACAAGATTGGACATATCACGAACCAGAAAAAGGTGGTGCATTATCTCCTACGGAGATATACCGTGTTTGTTGGTACAGAGATGTACCATGTTTGTTGGGTTTTGATGAATTTAGTTGGTATATAAATTTTAGAGCATGCTCATGCGATCCCAAATTTGAATGTATGGAACCACATGAACAAAATGAGCCATGGCTCTGCAATATCTTTAAAATTCATTGTTCTGCTGGCAGATTTTCCCTTTAAAACATCCAGGCGAACCGACATTTCTTAGGCGATTTTCCAGTCAATGGATTGGTTTTCTTAAGGGAACATGTTCACCGGAAAAGCCCATGTCAAGATTTTCCGGTGAAAATTGTCCCGTTTTCCAACCAATCCATTGTTATAAACAATGGTTTTCCATGGGAAAATCGATGGTTTCCGATTCTCCAGCCATGTCACCCGTGACATGCTGCTCCAAGCATCCCCGGGACCCGGGATCCACCGAGCAAATCAGGCCTTTCCCTTCCTGGGACCAAGGGTTTGGATGGAAGACCGGTCCAGAACGTTGACCAAAAACGATGGAAAATCACTATTTCTGATGGGAAATCACCATTTTTGATGGGTAAATCACCATTTTTAATAGGTAAATCACCATTTCTGATAGGTAAATCAGCTATTTCGACTGGGCCATGTTCAATAGCGAACTGTTGAATTACCAGAGGGTAACAATAAAAACGGTGGAAACGAAGCCTGGCACATGGATTTGGCTTCTGATTCGAGTTGCCAATGTGAAGTCCAAAGTTTAATTGACTAGAAACAGTTAAAAAGCACGGGACGTGATGATGTCGGGAAACAAACTGGCCCCCATGACGGCTCTGCATTTTTGGGACTGATTTGGGACTGAACTAAAGCACTTTTTGAGAGACTTCAGGGCCAAGTTTCACACTTCAAAAACATATCTTGCAATGTTGTCGTGAATTCGTGAATACTTATGAGCCATTAATAAACACCCCTTCAAAGCCTTCCGCCTTCTGTCATTGCTATGATCCAACCTGTTCTCCCCTGAACATGCTACACAGATGAGCCCTTTAAGGATCAGATCAAAGATGAGTGGTACCATACCTACCCACTGACCTGTCCAGGTCCGGTCTAATGTCTAGAAATCAAACATCACCTGCAGCAAACTCAAGGGCAAACGTCCAAACATACGGTCTCCCCGAAAAAAATCCATGGTTTATATCATGGTAAGTTTTTGTTTCCCCAATTGAAATTGCCATACATTGGTGGCAAGTATACACCATTCATCACCATTCTATCCATGTCTGAATACCCCAAGGCAACTCACCTAGATTCAGATCGCCGATTCAGCCAAGTTTCAATGGTCGCATGTATCGAGGCAAGGCATGCCTGTCCCCAGCTGCTGCAGGGGCGGCGGGCGCGGTGCCGGGCTTGTAGGCCGCGGCTGCTTGCGACAGCGCAGGACGCTGCGTTTCGGCCACTTTCCTCGTGGCAGAAAAAGCCAAGTGAAGTTTGGATTGGGGGTAGCTGCGCTATGTTGGGATAATCCCTTCTCCCTCATACTAACCCCCCCTATTAATAAAAACGGCAGGTCACGTCGTTCTTATTATTAGGGGGTTATTTATTATTAGGGAACCATGGCAGTGAACCATGGCTAACCAAATTATGGCAGTGAACTATTATTTTTATTATTAGGTAATAAAAATAATATAATTAATAAATATTATGGGTTTTATTCTTGGTTCTCCCTATTAATTACTTTGGCAATGAACCATGGCTAGCTGAGAAAGTCCCGGAACCGTAGGCCAAATCATGGGATTTTCATCGAACCAAATGGGGCATTCTCCAGCGGCTCGGCCATGTTTGATGCCAAGTTCTGGGACCGTCCCTGCTACACGGCAGTGAAATGCCCTGAACAAAATGATTGGAATGAAGATCCATTGGAACCACATAAACATATATATATATATTATATTATATTATATTATTTTATTTTATATTGTATATATAATTAAATATATATAACTATATATATAATGTATACGGCACCCTTTCCTGTGACTTTAGATCTTGGCAGCATTTGGCCACTATGTCATTTTCGTTGCGTTGGGAAAACACAATCACAACCCTAAAGTGGAGGCTATATGTGATAAGTTTGCCCAGATCGCTGGTCTTTCGGGGGCCAATATTGCATACCCTGCACGTTTTATTCAACTGGTTAGCACCTAGAATCCCTTATGGCATACTATTAGAGTATTCAAGTATCCATGTACCCATCACGATTGACTCCATATTTCATGATTATATTAATCAGGACAAATCCCCAAATTGTCGTTGGTGATACGCGACGTTGAACCCTCATGAACCCTCCATTTTTTATAGTTGCATGATCCATTATTCGATGATGTCCTGATGTCCACTTTTATGGACATTTATGTGCGGAATATCAGAGTATTGTAACATGACAACCAAACCAAATATAATTTGCTGATTAAAATTGTTACTATATCATACATATATATATATATTTATATGTGATATATTTACTATAGTTATATACTATAATACATGTATATATATATATATACTATATAAATGTGATTCGTAACCCATGCATGGTATTGGGTGAAGTATGGAATATCATGGTTTCTCTTGGGTCCACAAAGGCATATTGTTCTGGTTGTGGTTATTTTTCATGTGTAGCAAACAAATAAAGGATTAAATTACCCATCCAGTCGGTTGGGTGATATACAACCAATATCAAGTATTTTGTTTATAGTATACTTCACCCAATGCTATTACAATATATTCAATATTAGTATATTAACCAGATGGTAAATTATAACATATTATACCCCAACCAAAGACCCATAGTTTCTGAAGTGTCCTAACGTCGAGCCACACATGAGGTCCTCCCGGGACGTATCCCGCCGCGCCGGCGCCCTGGCGGCGCTGGGCGCGGTTCGCCTGCGCTGCTTGCGCCGCGGAGGTCTTTGGAGCGGAGTTCAGGGAGGCACCTGCGAAAACGGGAGATCGAGGTGAGTTACTTAGGGAATTGGGGAATATTGGGATAATCATTTGGATATGTAACGATATATATATATATATATATAATGTTTTATATGTATAGATAAGTCTACATGTTATGTATTGTGGTATGTATAATATGGATGAATGTATGAAGATATCAAACCAGTTTTTGAAGGACTTTCCAACCTTGAGCAAGGTCCAGGATGGATCGATCTCGTCCCTGAGACGTCCAACTTAACTTCTATGTCATATATATATATATATTATGTGTATATATATATATATATACATGTATATGTATATACATATGCATCTCTATATATGTATGAATCAAAACAATCCCAAGACCCACTGTGGATTGTAGACCGAATCATGATTCGGGCGGGGGTTCTAGGTTGTCTTTCTGCCATCCAAAAACCACTTTCTTGAATTATACGTCAAGACGCTGAGGTTTGCCCGGACTCACAACGAGCGTCCGGGCAAGCCAAGATGACAATGATGACGATGATGACGATAATGACGATGACGATGACGATGATGATGATGATGATGATGATGATGATGATTACTATTATTATTATTATGATGGTGATGGTGATGGAGATACCAATGATGATATTGATATCTTCTTGATAACCCTTAAAAAACAACAACATGACTGTATGGTTAATTGTTCCATGGGGCCGGGGTATTTTGATGTCTTCTTGAAACCCTATATTTTTTCCCACTGCTATTTAAAAAGCCTTACAGGCACTGAGACAAAACTATCAAAAGCATGCAATTCGCGACAGCAGCTCACACCCGGGTGTCAAAGCATCCCCAATTTGGTTTCCAGCTGGAGCGGAATTTCTTGCCGTCTTAAAAAGAGCTGCAACAATAGAGGCAAGCTTGTACATATAAGGACCAGACATTGGTGGGATTGACAGGGACAAGGTGGATGCCTAGAGCTACCTGACACCGTAACCCAAAGGAAGAGCCTAACGTATTGTTGATAACGGAAATGCTAATGCCCGGCAATGCCTCAGAGATTAAATCGCTTTCAGGTAGCGATGACATCGATGTATTAGTCGTCCAAAACCCTTATCTTGGCTAAAAAGGGGAGAAAGAAAACCCAACCTTGAGATAAAGTCAATCAAAACAATGGACCACGGGGTAAAAGCGGTGATTGGCGATGTGCCACTACACCAGTACGCTTCGAGCATAAACCGGTGAATGGCGTCAGCGCAATGCGGAGAGCTACAGGTGAGTTTGAGACATCTACGCATTGGACAACTGCGGTTCGATGTGTCATCCATTGATTGAATTTGGGATATTGCTGCTTGAGCGCATCCCAAATGCGATTGGGAACGAAAGCGCCAGAAATGAGCAAGTTGAGGAAACAGCGCTCCAACTCCCCTACTACAATGTATTTAGACAAGTCCCACGGCACAAAACAGGAGCAGGAGCTTTGCCCCATATCCTACACCTGTCTTGAAACTCCATAAGAAACCCTAATGATTGGATGGTTAATTGTTCTCTGGGGCCGGGGGAGTTTGGTACCTTCTTGAAACCCTAAAAGAAACCCTAATGATTGGATGGTTAATTGTTTCATGGGGCCGGGGGAGTTTGGTATCTTCTTGAAACCCTAAAAGAAACCCTAATGATTGGATGGTTAATTGTTTCATGGGGCCGGGGGAGTTTGGTATCTTCTTGAAACCCTAAAAGAAACCCTAATGATTGGATGGTTAATTGTTTCATGGGGCCGGGGGAGTTTGGTATCTTCTTGAAACCCTAAAAGAAACCCTAATGATTGGATGGTTAATTGTTTCATGTGGCCGGGGAAGTTTGATATCTTCTTGAAACCCTAAAAGAAACCCTAATGATTGGATGGTTAATTGTTTCATGGGGCCGGGGGAGTTTGATATCTTCTTGAAACCCTAAAAGAAACCCTAATGATTGGATGGTTAATTGTTTCATGTGGCCGGGGGAGTTTGATATCTTCTTGAAACCCTAAAAGAAACCCTAATGATTGGATGGTTAATCGTTTCATGGGGCCGGGGGAGTTTGGTATCTTCTTGAAACCCTAAAAGAAACCCTAATGATTGGATGGTTAATTGTTTCATGGGGCCGGGGGAGTTTCTTGTTTGGAAGTTTCCCGGGGGAGTTTGGTATCTTCTTGAAACCCTAAAAGAAACCCTAATGATTGGATGGTTAATTGTTTCATGGGGCCGGGGGAGTTTGATATCTTCTTGAAACCCTAAAAGAAACCCTAATGATTGGATGGTTAATTGTTTCATGGGGCCGGGGGAGTTTGGTATCTTCTTGAAACCCTAAAAGAAACCCTAATGATTGGATGGTTAATTGTTTCATGGGGCCGGGGGAGTTTGGTATCTTCTTGAAACCCTAAAAGAAACCCTAATGATTGGATGGTTAATGTTTCATGGGGCCGGGGGAGTTTGATATCTTCTTGAAACCCTAAAAGAAACCCTAATGATTGGATGGTTAATTGTTTCATGGGGCCGGGGGAGTTTGGTATCTTCTTGAAACCCTAAAAGAAACCCTAATGATTGGATGGTTAATTGTTTCATGTGGCCGGGGAAGTTTGATATCTTCTTGAAACCCTAAAAGAAACCCTAATGATTGGATGGTTAATGGTTTCATGGGGCCGGGGGAGTTTGATATCTCCTTGAAACCCTAAAAGAAACCCTAATGATTGGATGGTTAATTGTTTCATGGGGCCGGGGGAGTTTGGTATCTTCTTGAAACCCTAAAAGAAACCCTAATGATTGGATGGTTAATTGTTTCATGGGGCCGGGGAAGTTTGATATCTTCTTGAAACCCTAAAGAAACCCTAATGATTGGATGGTTAATTGTTTCATGGGGCCGGGGGAGTTTGGTACCTTCTTGAAACCCTAAAAGAAACCCTAATGATTGGATGGTTAATTGTTTCATGGGGCCGGGGGATTTTCATATCTTCTTGAAACCCTTTAAGAAGCCCTAATGACTGTATGATTAATTGTTTGCCGGGGCCGCGGCGATTTTGATATCTTCGTGAGGCCCTATAAGAATCCCCTAATGACTGTATGGTTTATTCCATATGATATGTAGAAGCGCTATGTTCTGGTTTTATGATATGTTATATAGAAGCAACATGTTTTGGTTAACACTGTTGTAGCAACACAATTGAACATTAAACCCTTCACATTGTTTGACATAGTACAGAATTCGCTAGTATTTGCGTTATTTTGGGCTTGCGCAAACCTCGGGGTCTGTGTGTAATTATATAACGTTCAAGATAACGAACCCTCTATGTATCTTACGTCGGGATGCTTTGACCCCTGTCCATGACCACATGATATCAATGGTTATGGATCAAACTTGCGTACGCATGCAAAATGGATGGTTCTTTCATACTCGACTCTACAAGTACACAGTGATTTAGACATATACATGTATACATACAAAAGTGTTATAGACATTATATTTCCATTCCTCCAAGAATCAGTTCAAGGGAAAATTCCAGGGAAATTCGCCAATATCCCCAAATCATAGTAAACATATGTAAACATATGTCAACACCCCACCACTGTATTTCCTGATGTTTCCTGTAAAATTTCCCTGAAACCCAAGGAATTCATGGAACAACTGGCCCTGGCCATCCCTGCGACCTGCTGCTGCTCCCTGCGAGCTCTTGGCCACGCGACGTCGCGTGCCGGTGCCCTCCCAGGCCGGGACGGATTCGCCCTTCCTGGGATCGGTGAAGTGATGGGCCTTACCCACCAGGAACCAACAACAGTGGATTGTTCACCAAAAGAAGTGGATTGTTCACCAACAAAAGTGGATTTTTCACCAACAACAGTGGATTGTTCACCAACAAAGTGGATTGTTCACCAACAAAAGTAGGTTGACCCTCTCAGAATTATGGCAATTGAACATCATCCATAGAGATTTTCCCAGCTGGAAACCGCCAGCTAAGTGCGGGGGATTTTCCAGCTAGCCAGTGTTTGATTACCCAAGGTATTCTTGGACGATTTACGACTTATTTCAACTCAGCTTCTGTGCCTGTGCTTGGGAATATTTGGCTGGTACTGAGTGTTGACTTCCTCTTTGGGTGGCGGCTTGACATTTCGAGTTCACTTCCACTTTAAAAACGCGATCAGCAAATTATCTGCAAAAGTCTGCATTGAAATGTAACACGGTTTTCTCTTTCTTTCCATGGTCTTCCAATCAACTACATCTTATGAAACCTAGGCTATATTTTAACATATTTTAGCAATAGTTTGCACCGAAAGCTTCGGCCTCTATCCTTAGGTGCTTAGCAGCTTGGACATCACCCAATATGTCCCAGCTCCAAAAGGAATTATGATTCGTGTATATACTACGGGTCGATAATAGTGCGATATATATATATACTATATACATATATGTTATACATATACAGGTATTGAATTTCACGAGGTCTTGGGGTTTTGGGATTTTTACGGTATATTGGGTTTCAAAGTCAAAATGCATCATTTCGAGCAACCTGCGAGCAGAAGGGTCGTGAGGAAAAGTGTTGAATGTTGTGATTTTTGTTGAATCAGCGGTCCACAGGTCCAACTGGCGTTCCAGAGAAACTGAAACAGTCGGAAACAGTCGGAAACAGTCGGGAGCGGCCCGGCGTGATCGTGCCAAAATTGTCAATCCGCCATTTTTTTGCCAAAAAAAACGTTCCGCGCAATCCCCTTTTTTTTTTGAAAGTGCAACGGGAAACAGTTGGAAACAGTTGGGGCTCGTACCTTTGACTCGGCAAAAAACGAGCTATTTAAAACCATTTAAGGTTCATTTTCTTTATAAACTGGTTTTAAATAGCTCTTTTTTGGCCGAGTCAAAGGTACGAGCCCCAACTGTTTCCAACTGTTTCCCGTTGCACTTTCAAAAAAAAGGGGATTGCGCGGAACGTTTTTTTTTTGCAAAAAAATGGCGGATTGACAATTTTGGCACGATCACGCCGGGCCGCTCCCGACTGTTTCCGACTGTTTCCGACTGTTTCCGACTGTTTCAGTTTCTCTGGAACGCCAGTTGGACCTGTGGACCACTGATTCAACAAAAATCACAACATTCAACACTTTTCCTCACGACCCTTCTGCTCGCAGGTTGCTCGAAATGATGCATTTTGACTTTGAAACCCAATATACCGTAAAAATCCCAAAACCCCAAGACCTCGTGAAATTCAATATATACAGGTCATATACATATATATATATAATATTAAATTATATACATCATGGTAATTATACGGTGTATAATCCATTTACATCCATATGTATAACACATTCATTGTAAGTTGGCAGATCTCCCTGCCGCATTCCAAGCGTCTGCAAACGTTGGATGCGACGCACCTTTCCAGTGGTCAAGTTGGTCTGGATGCCAACGGATTCCTTGGCCCGGCTCAGCGGTGTTCGCGATGCCAGCAACGGGGTGTTTTTCGCGACAAAAAGAAATGGCAAAGTGTGGTGTGTTTATTAATATCTACTGAGACCACAAAATGCAGATATTTTCACTTTAGGCACTTAATGAAGATATTAGTAGTTATATGAACTTATCATAGAAGTGATTTTTCCTTATTTTCACTAATTTTCACTTATTTTGCTTATTTTTTTTTAGATTTTCAATGAGAAATTTTGATTATAGACGATTCCATTTTGTTAGATATGTTTTTTGTTTCCAATACTTTTTTTTCATGATGATTATTGTTCTTTTGAGGGTTTATCCTGTTCAGGAGTTATCCTTTTCAGGAATTATCCTTTTCAGGAACTACTCTATTCAGAATGAATCCTTTTCAGGAGTTATCCTTTTCAGGAATTATTCTTTTCAGGAACTACTTTCTTCAGAATGATTCCTTTTCAGGAAGGATCCTTATCAGGAACTTTCCTTTTCAGGAACGACCCCTTTCGGGAATTTTCCTTTTGGGGAATAATCCTTTTCAGGATCTATTTTTTTTAGAAAACATGATTCTATGATTACCTTTTGCTGGTTTGCTGTATATTTAGTTTCGATAAGGGTCAAGTTGTTGAGAATCAACTTCTTGGCTTTCTTCATATTTTTCAAACTTCTTGTGATGAAAAATATTAGATGAACATAATTCAAACTCTGCAAAAAAAAGCTAAAGGAATCAAATATTATAAAAATAGTAAAACCACGTGATTTTTTTTTAAATCAGAAATTACATAAAATTCAGAAAACTTAGAAAAGTTAGAAAATTCGAAAAATTCAGAAAATGCAGCAAAGTCTGAAAATTCAAAAAATTTAAAAAAATCCAAAATTCGAAAAATTTAGAAAATTTTAGCTCACCCAGAAAATTCAGAAAATTCTGGCTCCCCCAGAAAATTCAGAAAATTCAAAAAATTCTGTCCCCACCAGAAAATTGAGAAAATTTAAAAATTTCTGACCCCCATAAAATTCAGAAAATTCAGAAAATTTAAAAAATTCTGCCCCCCCCCAGAAAATTCAAAAAATTCAGAAAATTGCCACCCCCCAGAGAAGAAAATTCAGAGAAAGAAAATTGCCCCCCCCCCAGAAAATTCAGAAAATTGCCCCCCCCCAGAAAATTCAGAAAATTCAGACCCCTCAGAAAATTCAGAAAATTTTGCCCCCCCCAGAAAATTTAGAAAATTCAAAAATTTGGCCTCCGTCCAGAAAATTCAGAAAATTTCGAAATTTGCCATCTCCCTTAGAAAATTCAGAAAATTCATAAAATATTGGCCCACCTCAGAAAACTCAGAAAATTCAGAAAATTCTCGCATCCCCAGAAAATTCAGAAAATTCAGAAAATTTCGAAAATTAAGAAAATCCGGGAAACTCAGAAAATCCAGACATTTCAGAAAATGTAGAAAAGTTAAAAAAATCAGAAATTTCAGAAAATTCAGGAAAATCAGTTACTTGGAGACATCAGAAATATACATGGAAATATATATAAATGTATACGAAAACAGAAATAAATTGTTTAAAAATAACAAAAATTAGAAAAGAAAGAAAATATTTTTTTTAAAAAAATATATGTATTCAAATGTTTATAATTTCTAGAATGCCAACTAAGTAGAAAATCCAAACCGAAAAGGAAAACAAAATAATAAACCATTCTTAAAAATTGGAAAATTGATCAAGTATGAAGCATCAGCCAGCAAATGTGTTATGTTTGCAATGTAGCTACAAATATTCAAAAAAAGGACAACATATAAGAAATTGCAGCATATTAAATGACATGACTTTGTGAAATGATAAATGTACATGTCTAAATATATATATATTAAAAAGGAAAGAACATGTAAGCATATGGCAATGTCTCAAACTGAGGTATCCGTTTTTCCCCTTCAAGGAGCTATTTTGGAACCAAAAACGGACACTTCATCTTGAAACATATCCATATGGAGAAAGAAATAGCAGTTATAAATTAGAGATGATTTCACAACACCTCGAGGAATTAGTATTCAACTAAAGGATCGCTGCATTTACTTTCCAAATCAAATTTTGCTTCTTATCATTTCTTTTCGCTTATTTTCGCTTATTTTTGACTAATATTCTACTATATTTGCTTATATCTTCCTTATTATGTTATAAGTTCACCTAAAAATTTAGTGGAACTTATAACAAAATATTTTTGAAAAAACAATTTGAGCAAGATATTAGAAGGATAATAGAAACTTATAGTATACTTATAACTTCATTAAGTGCCTAAAGTGCATATATCTGCATTTTGTGGTCTCAGTACATTATGTAATATACAATAAAATAATATATATATATATGATAAATAAAAAACAATGTTTAATATACTATATATATTATAATAATTTATCATATAATATACCATAATTTAAAATTTAAATTCATTTAACCATATAATATGATATAAAATAATATGATATAATATAATATGATACAATATAATATGATATTATAGTATAATAATTCAATACAGTATAATAAATATATAATGTTATATATATAGATTACAATATATTTTATATAATATATATTTAACATATTATATTTGTACGATATATATAAATAAAACACTGTAAAACATTATATATACATATATATGATAAAAAAACATATATATATAGAATATTACATAATATTATATATATTTTTGTAATTAAACGTTAACTATAATGTAATACACACATATATATATATCTATCATATTGTGTCATATTATGTTATATTATGTTTTACTATATTACATGAAACATATTATCTATATATATAAATATGTAATATGATATTGTAATATTATATATATTGTATTATATATATATATGTATTGTTATATTATATATATATTATGTATATTATATATATTATACGTTTGAAGAACTTAGATAAATTGTGTTTGTCATGATTGGAATATGAAGCATGATCTATGGTGAAATAATTGTTAGGTCGCTCGAATCTTCTTGGAAATATGGAAATCTAAACGGCAGCAGCATTGCCCTGTTTCGATCCCCTTGCTATCCAGAAAATGTAGGAACTTCAAGCCATCTTGGCTACTTTCGGGGTGAGTTCCCATGGTTTCCCATGGCTAAACCATCGACGGTCAGTGGGAGGAGTTCGCCTCGCAACGCAAACAGCGACAAGCATCATTTTCAAAGTGCACTTCGAAGTCATACCTGCCTGAGCGAAGAGGCTCCGATGATGTAGATCTGAAAATGGGTATCCCTCATTGTTTCATTATGATCATTTCATAAACCGAGGGTATGGGGTACTCTTTCTGAATCGTGTGCGATCTCCTGCTTCTTGTCACCAATACTGAGAAGTCGGCCCTGGAGAAAGGTTCCGTCCCAAGGTCTGAACATCTGAGGCATGTCTCTGCTTCCACTTATGTTGCAACTATACGGTAACTACATTTAAATATACATATTTTTTAATATACGAACAGGTATTTTAGACTACCTCCGGGAAGGTTTTCCTTGGCCTGCCCAGCCATTTAAACATACAGAATCCAATTCGTTTAAACATACCGTAACTACATTTAAATATACGAACTGGTATTTCATACTACCTCCGGGGCCTCCCGGTTTGGCCCGCCCTCCACATATTTAAATGTCGTTACCGTATGCTATCTTGGGTTGTTACCGCAATCGACTGCAAGCAAAGTCCCAGTTATGGTCATTTGTGAGCCCAATTGTATATGGTTTGTGCTTTGATGGTTCCAAGTGTTTCAAAGTTTCTGCTTGCCTTTAAACATCAACATGGTACAATATATAGTTAAAGGATGCTAGTAGATGATCAGCCGCCTTTGAAAGCTCCTATGCCAGAAAACATGACACACAGAAAACATCTATCTATAACAATCTATTTCTATATACCCAGACATAGGGATGGGTCAAAAATTTTGACCCAACATGAATGGCGTAAGATCCCCAACATCATCAACAATAAACCATCCCAAATTGAGGGTTTGTGGCATTGGGTTTACCCCCATTTGGGATGACTCCAAGCTGCCAAGGGTATAACGAAGTGGTTGATCCGTGCTGCCGTCAAAGGGCTCGTTCCCTCCGCGAAAAGCGCAAAATGATTGAAACTTGCAACAGTTTACGTGTCCCCCATTTGGTATTGGAAAACTAGCTTCCACTAGAAGATACTAGAAGTTCCTATATCTCAAATGATTCCAATTGTGCAATGTTGACCCTAAACAAACTCCCTGAGTGCAATTTTGACCTATACCCAGACGTACCCAGACTGTCTAACATCCGGTCCATCCTTCCAATGCCCTGACCTACACAGACTGCCAATACTCGACCATCCAGTTGATCGGTGGGTCAACACCTTTGAGCCATAGCCATATGGGTCAAATATATATTATTTGGTCAAATTTGCATAATCTGAACATTGAATAAATTTGTGATAATGAAACAGTTACAGTAGTTAGCATGCACTCTAAATGACTAAACTATCTACTAAACTTACCCCCTGGTAAATTAACATAGACCCTGAAAATACGCCATTACTGGTTTCACTAATCTTCCAACCCCTGCCACGGTCTATCAGATCCTTTGCCTGGCATCCAGGGGCTCCAACCTTTCTCCAACTCAATAACCTCACGAAAGTTGGAACGGGGTCAACCTCACTTCTGAAAAAAACAAACCAACTATCACTGGGCAAACATACGTCAACAGGCTGAGTTACTATGTTAAGTTGCAACATATGCAACTCAGGTATTGTGACTAGACGGCGGATGGCCCGAGAGCGTAGAGGAGCACAGTAAGAGGTATAAGTATGAAGATCTTATAGCATGAAACATAAGTATAGAACTATACAACGATGCCTAAAATGAAGAGACATGGTGCAGACACGTTGTGAAAAGTAGGTACATATGAAGAAATTGTAGGAGAACAAATGAAACGAAGGAGACACAGGAAGAAGGATTGAGACAAAACATTTTTGCATACAAACATGTTCATACATACAAACATGCCTCACACACCTGTGATTTTACACACAGATTCTTTACCGCACTGACACTTTTACACAATCGTTTTTACGCTCAAACACTGTTACACACAAACACTTTTACACACAGACGCTCTTACACAAACGCTTTTACACAGAGAGTCTTTTACACACAAACACTTTAAACGCGGACGCTTTTACAGACAATCACTATTACACACAAGCACTTGTACACGCAGACACTTTACCAGAACCAACCAAACTCGCAAAAAACCCTCAGTTTTTGACACCCAAACATCATTTCGTTCGAAAGGGTTGCCGCCGGACCAACCAAAGTCGCAAAAAATCATCAGTTTTTGACACTCCCACCTCGCTTGATGCGAAACGGTTGCCGCCGAGGATGTTAAATTGCAATAGAAATCGTTAGTTTTTGACACTCGAACTTCATTTCGTGCAAAAAGGTGGCCATATCGTGGCGCCTCGTCGGCACTGCCTGCGGCCTTAAGAGAGACTAAGAGAGAAAAGAAAAAGAAGGAGAGAGACCGTGACAAAGGGCGAGAGAGAGAGAGAGAGAGAGAAGATGTGAAGATGAGAAGATGTCAAGGTGTGAGTATGTGAAGGTGAAGGTAAGAAGATGTGAAGATGTATGTGAACATGTGAGGTTGTGAAAATGTGAGCATGCGAAGATGTATAGCAGACCTCCATTTTTAGAAGAACCCTTCGCTCAGACGCTCTTGGGAAAAAACAAAACACCATGGATGAAGTAATCAACGGCTTTATTTTGCTTTTTCGGGTTTCAAAAGAGTACGCTGTGCACGAGCAAGTATCTGACAGATCCAATTGACTTGTTCTATGCTATCTCATGCCTGCAGGCAGCTAATTGGTATCATCATCGTCATCTTGAATCCTCCTCATCCTCATCAGCATCGTCATCATCATCGTCATCATCATCATCCTCATCATCGCAATCATCATCGTCATCATCATCGTCATCATCATCGTCATCATCATCATGCCCATCTGTGCCCATCTATGCTCATCATCATCATCATCATCCTCATCATCACCATCATCACCATTCTCCTCCTCATCCTCATCTTCGTCCTCATCCTCACCCTCATTCTCATCCTCATCCTCTTCCTCATCCTAATCCTCATCCTCCTCCTCCTCATTCTCCTCCTCCTCAACTTCTAGACACGAACACTGTTACACACCAACGCTTCTACAAACATGTTTACGCCCAAACGCGGTGACACAGAAACACTTTGACGCAGAAACACTTTTTACACACAAACGCTTTTTCACACGAACCCTTTTACACACAAAAGCTTTTACACACAAATACGCCTTTACACACAACCCTTTTACACACAGACGCTTTTACACACAAACTTTTACACACAGACGTTTTTACACACAGACGCTTTTACACACAGACGCCTTTACGCGCCAACGCTTCTACGAACACGTTTGCACACAAACGCGGTTACACAGAGGATGTAAAATCGCAATCTCACCTGAGTTTTTGACACTCAACCTCATTTCGTGCGAAAGGGCTGCCGCCGGACCAACCCAACTCGCAAAAAAACTATCAGTTTTTGACACGGCCTACAGAGAGAAGAGAAAAAGAAGGAGAGAGACCGTGACGGAGGGCAAGGAGGGAGGGAGGGAGAGAGAGAGAGAGAGAGAGAGAGGAGAGAGAGAAGGAGAGAGAGTGAAGATGTGAAGATGAGAAGACGTGAAGATGAGAAGAGAGAGAAAGACGGAGAGAGAGTGAAGATGTGAAGACGAGAAGATGTGAAGATGTGAGTATGTGAGTATGTGAACATGTGAGGCTGTGAAGATGTGAACATATGAAGATGTATAGCAAAGCTCCACTATTTGAAGAACCCTTCGCTCAGACGCTCTCGGGGAAAAAGAAACAAACTGTAGATTTTCGCCAAAAAAACACACCAATTTCAGCTTGGTTTTTGGTCGCTCGGAGGCCATCAATGGGGGTCCATTCATTTTTGAACACATCCATAATCATCCATATACATAAATCAACATATTGTTTCTGATATATCATGTATCCGATGCAATTCCCCTATGCCTATGACTATCAATTATCAATCCATTGAACAAGCACATTCATCATGGCATTTGTTCAAAGTGCGTATCAACTGGCTCTGACCTCAGAATGCCATCTCCATGTCAACGCCCAGTGGCCCAGTGGTATTCTCCCTCATAGGTCTTGGTACCGGAAGTGGCCAGGAAGTAGCAGGTGGGCAAGTTACTATCCTCAGCCATGCTTCCAGCACAGCGCCAGTCAGAATCAGATTCTTGTTGGGTTTCCCACATCAGGACATTTTTTGATGATGTGATAATATCATCCTTTGAGAACAAGCCCATGACCCTCATGACCCAGATTCCTGGATACTCTATAGTAGGGTATCACGCCTTGTGGGTAGTAGGCGTTAGTGATCAACACTAGCGCCATGTTAGGTTTGCAAGGCGGAAGTGGGTATAGTAACCGCTCCCCCAACCAAAAAAAATGTAGCCAAAAGTACATCTTCCCGGAATTTTGGTAAATTGCTTTTCGATCCATTTGGAGGCTTGCTATGGCCCTTCACAACTGTCTACTTAAAAAGGACTCCTGAAAGTGTCGAAAAACGCTAAGTCTTGATTTGTCAATCCCAATGTTCTTAAATCTTAACGTTTGTTTGTTCACCCAGATCGTTCCCGCTGCATCTCGCTGGTGAAATCCCAGTTACGAGTGCGCCAGTGACATCTCATTTCTGTTGCCGGTTCAATTCATTGTGCTGATTGAAATTCAGCTTATTCTGCTCACTTGACAATTTCGGCTGCTGCAGCTTCAATGCATCTCTTTCATCTCGGTGAACATTGATTTCTGATGCTGAAATCATAGTTTGATCATATAAACTCCTCTGGAGCAGGGCCCCCAAGTTATGTTTGGTAGTTTAGAACCCCATCAAACTCTCTCTCTCTATATATATACATATACATATGTATGTATATATATATATATGTATGTATAAATAAATATATATATATATATATATCCTAAATAATATAACATAATATAATATAATATATTATAATATAAAATAAAACAATATTATAAAATATAATAAAATTAATATAATATAATATAATATAATATAATATATTATGATATAATACAATATAATATAGTATAATATAATAAATGATAATATTCTATTATATCATATTATATAATATAATACTATACTATATTATAATTGATATCTGTCATACATCCAACACTTTGCCCAGCTGTAAAACCAACTTCCTCCCCGCTTTGCCGTCCACCTTTGGAACCCCTCTTTCGGTCCCAGCGTCGGCCTTGGTGGCATTTGCTGGCACCTCTTCGGTCCTCGGCATGGGGATGTGCCCAGGTGTTCGAAGCTTTAGCTACGTGTGGGGGTGCCCCCGTTCGGAAGCGCTAAGTTGCTGCCAATAATTAACTCCAATAACTATGGTATATAGATCATTAATATCTATAGTTAATGGGTTTAAAGGTTTATAACCAATTTATAACTGGGGGCACCACCTTGTACCCCCAAAGTCTACGGAAAACAGAGCGCACAATTTACGACTTTCGCAACATGTGTCAATGAGGCAAGAAAACTGCTCATGTCACCAAGTATATGCATCTAAATGCGTATGTATAACAAACAAACCTTGGTATGTGAGGACAAGGTCGGAAAAAGGGGATATCGGATAACACAAACAGTAACTGTAGAGAAACTACTGTACCCTGAAAAATATCCAGAATTGAAACCACCTGGTACAAGCGGCCTGGCTTCTCCAAGTCCATTCTGATGGAAAAGTCACTGATCTGTGCAGTGATGGAAAAGAAATGTTTACATGAATAAACATAAAACACTCAACATCACCAGCGAAGCAAACGTTTCTTCCATCCAACAATTCATCCGTTGAAAAAATCATCAATTATCGCCATTCTGAACCATTTGTTTCGCATAAACTGATGGCAAATCTCCACTTTTTTGATGCTTAGCCGTATGGATCATATTTCCAAGAGGCGGGCGCTGCACTACTTCAACAGCTTCCACCTCGGGCACCTGACTCGCGATCTTGCGCGTCCCACGGGCAATGCCAGCCATGGTTTTTCTTAGGGATTTAGTGGGCTCATCATGGGGATATAATGGACATATAATTGGAATATCATGTGCATAGGGATATAATGAAAATCAATGAAGCATGATGTTTTTTTGCAATTGTTTACCATTGGGATCTAGTGGGCCCATCACGGGGAGATACTGGGAAGATACTGGAAATCGAATTCAACACTTTGCTATGGAACATCAATATTCAAAACCAACAAAAACCGGTAAATCATGGAACTAAATGGGCCATAGCTTCCATAGCAAACTGTTAATCTAACCAAAAATCATAGTTTCACAATGGTTTACCACCGGGAGGATACAAGGAAAAACACCCAAAAGATAAGTGCCTTGCACATCAGCATTTTTGGGGCGATAGACCAGTGAAGTTGTTGTCCTTTGCCAAAAAACAATTCTTGGGGAATGACATGCCATCGTGTTCCGTCGCGGCCGTGCCTGTTCCACTTGCTCGTTGATGCCGTCCATGTTGGGGCAAGAAACACAAAGGTCGGACAATGAGACACGGGGCGGGATGAAAACGCTACGGCCATGATCCCGCGAAACACATCGGCAGGAAATGGTACAAAAAGGTTGCGCCCGCAGTCACAAGTTGCTTGGTCTTTAAGCCCTATGAACTATAAACTATAGGTCAAAAGTGCAGACAATGAAGGCCCATCCAATGTTCTGCCAGAAGGTGCCAAAGTGGGTCGTTTGGATTCTGGTCAAAACTTGCTGAAGAAGCAGAAACTACAAACTCCCTTGCCTAGGTGATTCAAGCTGTCATTCTGGCTGGCTCCGTGCAGTGCGCACATCCTTATTAGCTGGTGGTACCTTTTAAATCATGTATATATATATATATTATTATATATTACAATATATATATATATATATTATAATTATAAAAACAATAATAAATTATTATTATATATTATAATAATGATAATAATGATAATAATAAATGATAAAAATAACAATAGTAATAATAGTGATAATAATAATAGTAATAATAGTAATATAATATAATGAAGGTAATGATGAAAATAAAAATATTAATTATATGTATATATATATATATAAATATTCTATACATTATATATATATATATTCTATACAGTATATAGATAGTTTCTATACAGTATCTATATATATATAATATTTCAATAAATATATATATATACATTATAGATATATTATAACACAGGATATTGTAGTATATTATATTATTTTGATAATATTAAATTATATTATATGATATTATATGATTTTGTATTACATTACATTACATCATATTGGAATATAAAATATACATTATACAGTATACATTACAGTATACATTATAGTATACATTACAGTATACATTATACATTGTACGTTATACATTGTACATCATACATTATACACTGTACAATATATTACATTAATTTATAAGAATATAAATCATATTATATATATATATCAATTAAATCAATTATAACTATTTGCTGCAACGTCGCCTGGATCAACTGGGAACTGCGGTTTGGATCAAACTTAGAAGTTATTCAAATAGTGAAGTGGCCCAGGCTGCTTTACCCCCTGCCACTACCACCACTCCAGCGGATAATGCAGGTTGCGCCCTAGCCCATCTATAGTACGGTAATTGTGATGTGGTCCATCTCTGACCCAATGGTTTCTGATTTTCTCGGGACCTAGTGGTTCGAATTCCTTGATACTCCCCATATCCCATGCTTAGCAAAACCCATAATTAATGCCTAAGCCTTTTTGATCGTCTTTGTTTGCACAGCTTGAAAGTACAGCAGGAAAGCGTTGTGCTCTCCTCCAGTACTTGTGTAACTGCTCCGATTGCTTTCTTGTACATTTCTGTACAAGCCTAGGCTCTGGCTGGGTTTCGTCCGACACTTGTATCGGACTCGTCCAAGCCAAAAAAAATGCCAGTGCGATGACCAATCAGTCATCAGTGTCTCAGTGTGCAACCACGGTAAGTTTCAAGCCTCTCGCCATGATGGCTGCACGGATTTGAAGTGCACAAACACCTTGCCTGATGTCTATGATAGCCCGAGCACCCCAAGGATTCTTACTCAAACAATCAAAGTAAATATACATTACATGAGAAAACAGCCTGATATCCATTGAGTATATTGGATAGCTCGGTATAGCTCGTGAGAATTCAAGATAATTCACAATGATTCGCCTGATTTCAGATCTTCCTCGCGCCTCCACTGCTCAGGGTCTGCTGCCTGAACCATGGGGGCGTTGCACTTCCTTGGGGCAGGCGGATTTTGCCGTAATTCCATGCATATTAAATACATATTAAATACACCCACATGGCCAATTTGTTAACATCAATGTGGTAACCTGGTAAACCATGATTAACCCAATAATAAGCATCCAATCCGGAAGGGCTATTTCCACTTATGTCACTTCTCTGGGAAAATTGGTGATGATTTTTGTATTGGCTTTGCCACATTAGATCCAACACCAAATCAGGACCTACAAGTTTGGCGCCAAGAAACGGTAGGGTCCAACAAATCGACAATAATGAGATTTCACCAGCCAAAATGCGATATGATTCTGTAAAGTTGTATAGACATGTTGGCTTGTGACTTCAGCTATGCATCCACTTGCGTGGCTTAAGGGACATAGGATGAAGAACCTCGCTCAAGGGCTGTGTGCTAGCGAAAACAGTGATCGTTCTTGTGACCCTTCGCCTTGCTTCGGGAACCCCCAGTTTTACAGTGGTAGCGGAGCCCGGCTTCGGTTGGGCCACCCCAGTAGTGTTCTGTTGTTTTTGGGGAATCTTTGATTTTTGGGGAAGGTCACTGGTTTGCTAGCAGCCCTTGATCGGGGATGTCTGGCGGCGTTGGTAATGGTGCTGGTGTGGCAGTGCCGGCATCTGATGGAGATCAAGATCCACTCGGTGCGAGTGGTGGGGATGAACCGAGTGAAGGTCGCATGAATGCAGCAGACATGGCTGCCTTCCGACGCTTCCAGAGGTTTTTGAGGACAGAAGAGGCGACGGGTTCGCCACCAGTACGTCGTCGACGCCGTCGTGACGATGATGAGGACGAAGAGGAGGAAGGGCGTGGCTCTTCAGGACCACCGCCCACGTGGGATGGGCTTTCGAGCTTTGAGGACTTTCACATCAAGGCGAAGCTCTGGTTGGCGACGACTAAGGTCAAGCCTAAGGCCCGGGGACCCTTGATTCTGAAGTCGCTCACAAGTGCACCTTTTGAGCACTACAAGCACCTCGCCAAGGATGCGGCATGGTTGGCAGATTCCAGAAATGCAGAACTTCTTCTAGAAGATATGAATCGTCCAGAAAACTATGGTGATGACAGGCAAGAACACCTTCTTACCTCACTCTCTCGAGTGACCTACCATTTGCGTAGGGGAAAAACCGAGACATGGCGCGAATTTTTCGCGCGATGGGACACCGCATTGCGGAAGATTGCCGAGCACAAGGTGGTCTTGCCCGAGGAGTACCAGGGATTTCTCTTAATCAATGGCTTGCAGCTGTCAGAGGCTGAAACACGGGCCATGTTGAACTTCACTCATGGATGTATTCGACCTACATCAGTGAAGGAATGGTTGCGGAAGAATGAGACAAAACTATCGGCAGCTGAACTTGGTGCTGATCGGAAGAAACCCAATGGAGTGATGCTCACCGAGACGCTGGATGATGGAGATGATCTGGAAGAGAACGAGATTGACGAGGAGATTAACGAGTTGGAGGCCTATTTGGTGGACTACCAGCAGAACCAGGAGATTGATCCCGAGGAGATTCTCGACGAGAACGAAGCGGCGGAAGTCCTGGCGACAGTCCTCCACCAGAAGCGCTCCTACAAGCAGGCTCTGAAACTTCGGAAGGAGAAGGAACTCAGCCGAGGTTATGGAAAGGGTTCCAATGTACCTTTCTCAGGAGGAAAGGGTCGAGGGAAGCACAGTGGCTCCAATCGATACAATGTCTCCATCGAGGAGGTACGGAAACGAACCAGATGTTGGAACTGCAATCAAGTTGGACATCGAGCTGCTGAATGTGGTCAGCCTGCAAAGCGTGAGAGCAATGACGGGAACAAGGTGAATGCAGCCCATCACTTGGAAAAGTTAGCGGACACGAACGAAGCCTTCTTCGTCGGTAGCCTGAACCTTGAGCCAGACTTGACACCACCTGTAAATAGCCAGGTACATTTTGCAGCTGAGCCCAATAGCTGGCTTCAGGACATTGCACAGTCCGAGATTTGTGAGGATTACAAGGTAGGAAGCAGCATCCAGAGTCAGAGTTTGATGAACGGTTTTTGCGATCATTGTGACGGTTTTGATGGTTTGTTTTTCTTTGAAACTTGGTTTTGTCAATCGGTTGGTAAGTCAAACGGTAAATCTGATGACACTTGTGGTACTGTGGACACTGGTTGTCAGAGACTTGCAGTGGGGGCCATGACTCTCCGGAAGTATGGAAGACATCTACCTGAACCCCTACAAGTCACCTTGCAATCAGAGATCAACAGATTCAAGAGCGTCCATGGCACATCAACCACTCACAGGGTAGCCAATGTTCCATGCAGTTTGGGAAATAGAGGTACGATTTTACGACCTGCAGTTTTTGAAAGCAAAGCAAGTGAAGAAGCTCCATTGCTACTGTCTTTGTCATTTTTGATGCACTGCAATTGTGAACTAGTTCTTTCTCCACAAGAAGGACTTGCACTTAGGATGCAGGGGGTTCCAGATCTAGTTCCACTTCACATTGGTCCATCAGGAGCGTTGAGAATTCCGTTGCAACAATTTTCATCAGTGATGATCAACGGGATCAAGAAGCTTCAACAAGATAAACAAAATCATCATGAGCATGAGTTTGAGATTTTGAACTTGGACGATGCGGCAGAACTCAGTGCTCAGGCCCAAGCTAGAACCACCTCGAGCTCTTCTCCGGTTTCTGAACCTTGCCATGGAACCGGGACTCAAATGCGCTCGTGGTCAACCTCCTTCAACGCAGCCCAACTCGTGGG